TGAAAACAATCATGTACAAAGGTTTGAGGGAATATAATAAGTTATCAAATCAGACTGTCGGTCATTTCAACAAAGCACATGAGAGGATTTAATATAATTAGATTTAGTTGAAATTGTTTTTTTATTGTGAGCTGTTTTGAGCCACCAATTTTTGCTTGTTGCCGTTGTAAATTAGGACTTTCTAACTAAAGGTTGCTACTACTACTACTAATACTTTTTTATAGAAAACCCCCTTGTAGGCTGGTTACGATAATCTTTAACGTTAAATGTTTCCTGTAATTTACACTAGATCTCCTAAATGTTCCAGGTGAAAGGCTACCAAGTACCTCCCGCAGAACTAGAAGAAATAATCCGTGACATCCCTGAGGTAGAAGATGCAGCAGTCATAGGAATCCCACACCCCACTGACGGGGAGGTACCTCGGGCCTACGTGGTACCCAAGAAGGGCAAAACCGTCGATCCTGAAGCAGTAAAAAGCTATGTTGCTGGCAAGGTGGCGAAGTACAAACAACTAAAGGGCGGTGTTTCTGTAGTAGGGGAGATTCCCAAGAATCCTACAGGAAAGATACTTAGACGGAAACTTAAGACTATTTGGGAGGATACAGGATGTTGATTGCTTCTAATAGTTTTCCACTGGTATGCGCTGATGCATTTCCGCACTTGTGATTCTTGCAACGCTGGTATCGCTGTAGGTACGATGTCACGAAAATTAGGAAGAAAAGCAGTACAGTAGTCAATTCTCTGACATCTTATACGATTAATGTATTTGTCCTACTGATCATAAATCTGATCTCACGCTTTCTGTTACAATCGACATTTTGAGAAAGAAGCACCGTGCAAAAATTAGAGAAGTAGTCCAAATTAGTAAACATGGTGATGGTATGTCTCAATGCCTCACCGCCCATTGCAATATTTCTTCGCGCGTGATAAACAGACTTAATACAAAATACTTTGCAATGGAACATAGCATGACAGAGTATATTGAGCCCAACACCACACTGTGATAAGAAAGGGAGTAAATAGTGCAAAAATGCATACCTGTGGAAAACGTTATAAATAACATTCTCGGTTGGTCTAAATGGCTCCATGCAATGTTACTCCATTTTAGATTCCATCCATGTGGGCTCCATTACAATTTTGAACTGATTCAATATTTGGTCACACACTTTGCCCCAAGCGATTTTGAGGGGATATCGATATTTTTACGGTTTTTTTTTGCGGTCACAGTAAAACTACAGGAATTACTTTCATCCATCTTCCTCAAACATACCTATGTAATGGGCCTCTATGCGCGGACGTGAGTTTGTGTAAACTCAGACATACGGTTTTTTAGTTTTGTCCTACCACCATGAACAGTTTCGCATTAACATTTATGAACCTTTCACATTTATACTTTGGTATGGCAACTTGCTTGACATGGGCGTTTGATTTGGGTATGCCGAAATGTTGATCTTCGATAGCAAAAACTAAAGGTACAATGTCGACAATCTGAATTAGAGGTATTCCCAGAAAGTAAGTGAAACTAACTGTCCTCTATGAGCCAATTCATTTGCGTGTACAGGAGCAAGTAGCAACTGTAGTGTGGATCGGCTTGTGCAATGTGCAATTTCTCTGAGTGAAGTCAATCAATTATTTATTTCGTATGGCATTGTGACGTAACTGTCAAAAACCATAAAAACAACTATACGTTCGTAGATAGAGTTCTTACTAACATCGAATTTCTGACAGCCCCAAACCGTCATTCATAGTGTTACCAGATCAGTTCAACTTGTAACTAGGTAACATAATGTCATCTACTTGTTTGGATGATTGTGTCTGACAGTCTCTGATAGTCAGAAAGTCAGTTGTTGGGGAAAACTGATATTTTTTTTAAGACTGCGTGAAATTTGACATGGAGCGATCGTGAATGTGGTTTCCTAATGGATTTGAAGGTTAAGGATCTGGGGCGTGTACTTAGATGACTCTACCTATATGCATATATTATGAAGTGTGATGTTTGTTATATGGTGAAATATTTATATTATATATGATGTTTTTATTAATAAACAATTGTAAGAACCTGATAACCCTTATATAATGCGTTCAATCGACAGCACAGAGTACTTCTATAATCTGTATCGAAAGTAAGAACTTTTAATTCAGTCTGGATAGGGTAGGGTCCCCGATAGCCCGAAATATTCATTGAATATTCAATATTTGATAATAGTTTTATCTTACTTAAATATTTGTTTTCTTTAATAAATATTTATAATATATTTTTTTTAAATATTTACTCAATGTCTTTTAAATATTTTAAATACAATATTTCTTTTATAATATTCATTAAATATTTACTTTTCAATCAATGGAAAATATTAAATCTCCAATATTTGGAAAATATTCATCAATATTGTCGGCTACGGCGCATGTGCATGTGACCTCGAGCGACCAATGGGATAATAGCAAGCTGGCCTGAGGTGACCCGTTGCCAGCAGTCATTTTACCTGTGACTTTCACTATGATAGCCTGCTTCCTGTGTTCCTCGAAGTGGTTCATTATTTGAGTGTTTTTTGTGGTCAAGGGAAAAGGGTAAGTTTTTCGATAATTACATAGCTTAATTTATCTGACTAGTAAACATTATTGTGCCAGCTGAGTATAAAGGTATTCACAAGACCATAAATAACTAGCCTTGAAGTGTAACAGTTATTTGGTATTGGTGGATTTATCTGAGAATTGATACGAAAATTATGTTCATAACATCCCAATGAAAAGACATATAATCGCAACTTGATCCAAATACATCAACAATGCTTTTTTAAATATCTCAATTATTATCATTATTTTTGTCGTAGTACGTTCAAAAATTTTAACAGTCGAAAATACTATACTTTTGTCCCTTGAATTATAATATAAAATCACTAAATAGTTATGGCTAAGTTAGCTCCTTTACTAAAACAAGTCACATTTCACAAATATCAATAATTTTCGAAAACCTTTTCTTTAAAAGTTAGTCAAAAGATCAAGTTGTGCCCATGGACATTTTTCATCAAGAGATCTAAAATCGCATACTAAATTTTCTTAAAAATTAACCAAATCTCGAACTATCATAGGCATAAAATGTGGGGTCTTTTTAGGTACATTATAGAACTGCTTTTCAGTGACCCAGTTGAGCTACTCGGAGTAACTCACCATGCTCAGTACCAATAAATACACTGGAAAGCAGCTCATGTATTCAATAATACTTCATAATTAGTACGTGTTTTTTTTTCAGAGGAGTGGACTTGCAACATGCAGAAGAGGCTTAGAATGTTTTTCTAATAATATTTTTCTAGCAAATTAAACCATTATATCTAGAATAAATTTTCTTTATAAACCCAATTTTATATAAGCATTACTACAGGTTTTGCTAAAATAACCAATGAAAAATTTTCTATATACACTGAAAATATTGATCAGATTAATGCTTGAAAATACATACATATATTTACGAAAAATATTAGATATTTCATCAAAATATAAAATTGATATTTAAAAATCTTTCATCATATATTTTCTAAGTGGGTATTTGGACAAAATATCGCATAAACGTTTTTTAAAAATATTTAATAAGTACCTAATGCTATCGGGGGTGGGTTGTTGGCTTGTGGTTTGGGTGAGTTTTATATATTTTATGCATTTAGTGTTGAGGATTTATGGGTTTTTTAGATGGCATGTCTTATTTCATAGAAATACATTAAGTTATTAAATTTTTGGTGCATTATAATCCAAACCACAACTTTAATACACACGTAGTCATACACTGTGGGGTATTAAATAAGAAAAAAGAAAGTTTCAGTGTGCCATATCTCAGCGAAAAAAAATTAATCAAACTCAACGGCATTTGAAGAGGCAAGGCTTGTACTTTGAGAGAAACTTTTTTGTAAAAAAATAAAAAATAATTCGCCGAGCTATATAAAGACCACTCCAGACGCTACGTTTCGCACAACCTTTTATCTGCACACTTCAACATGATGCAGATAAAACGTTGCGTGTAGATTGGGAAAGAGCGCAGTTTTGAATCCGGAGTGAAGACAATACTGTTGCAGCGATAACTGAGCGAAAGAACATAGATGTCCATTAACTGTTCGGACAAGTCGACGCATGTAGACGGTAGCACCGTTTCCCGATTCATTTTGTTCTCAGTTTCAATTCGTCAGGCGACAATGGCCAACCTCCGGCAATGTTCTCGGGAGTTTCTCACAGAATTTGTTGCATTATACGAAAGTTTCTCATGCTTTTGGCGTGTCAAATCCAAGGGTATAGTGACATGGATTTAAAGGGGCAGGCTTATGAGAGTTTAGTGGAAAAATTCAAAGAAATTGATGCAGCTGCACATACGCGACCACTTTGAAGACCGGGTACTTCTGAGGCATTCCAATCTTTTTTTTAACTAGACACCATGCCAAAATTGACCAGAGTACCTCTTCCATGACGATATTACACAAAACTGAGCGAAATATACATATCTCTGCACCCTGTAGACGTTCTAAAAATTGCAAGACTGTGCAGACAAAAGTTTCTGCAAAACGTAGCGTCTGGACCGGCCTTTGAAATCAAATATGGTAAAACGCACTATTTTTGCACTTCAAGATTAGGATAAATCGGAAACTAGAACGAATTGAATACGAAATCGGAGTCAGCAAATAAAAACCTTCGGGAAAGAATACTCTAGTTTCCCATATGTGTGAATTGTTCAATTTATAATAAGCCTCAGGTTAAAACCCGTATGTTTAAAAACAGATTTTTGCCATACTCTTGACCAACGTTTCTACCCTCAAATACATTTTGGCAATAGTAAAGAGTACCGTGTTGTCGCCAGCACTATCAGTCAAATGTACTTAGGTGGACAAGTACCCTGTAAACCTATAATACGTCAGTACGTCTCTTAAGCGTTCTAAATCAATCACCTACTTAGCAGAGTTAAAATAATTCAAAATGCAATATAATTTTAAAACTTTTATTCAAGCATAAATAACATACTGGCTCAAAATTGTTCATGTTGGATAGAATGAAATTAAACAAAAAAAATATATAAAAAAACTACTAAATAAACGCGTACACACAATCGCTTTATCACATACATTCATTCTTGTCGCTTTCTTCATTTCAAACATATTTGTTGTAAAATACACTTAGAAAACGTAAACCGTGTTTTTTAAGTACATAAAATACAGGGTATTCGAAAAGTTGGGACTTTCCTTTACAAGCAAGTTTTTATAGCAAGACATTGAGTTCAGAAAAACACAGAATGGTCCATCCCAATCCAGAATGCTACATGAAAAAGTAACATGTTTTGTGGTACGATGTGCATCAGTCTCAGGCGCCGCGCGGTGTGTAGGTTAACCTAGCTTATTTACAGATTTAAAAACCCAAAATCGGCACCTTCCCATAGCAATAACGAAGTTATAGATTGAATGTTAGTTTATGGTGTCTCCAAAGGTTTACTGATACTTTGCGAGTATATTTACATCGTACAAAGGCAGTTGAGTAAAAGGCCCAAGACTCCCCCAAATGTTGCAAATTAAGGAAGAAGTTCACAAAGGACCAGGCACAAAACATATGGAAAATGGGTCCCAGTCGATTTGTCTAAAAATTCAGTATGATATATTTCTTGCCTTCCCGAACAAAAGTGTCCATAGGTCCAAATCTGCCTATTGTTGTAAGATCAAAGACACGGAGAATCAATATACTAAAAGAAATATTTTATTAAAACACCTTGTAGGAAGGTGTGTTGAGTCATGTTGATCGTAAGCATGATCCTTACAAGGCAAGTTGATTTTCATATGTTTATGCTGAAATAGATCTAGCATGAGTTGCTCTAAATTCAGAAAAATCAATAGGACAGGTAGCTTTCCAAGGGGACAAAAAAGTCGTGGTTGTTTCCTTGTCTTTGATTAGTAATTTACAAGGTCAAATGAAAGCGTAAGCTTTTTATTCAACGGTAATCTTTGTAGATTTTCAAATTCGTTAAAAGTACTACATCAACTAAGCTACCCGTTCTTCAAGTTTCTCGAGCAACTCGTTCCAGATATATTCCAGCATAGACATATAAAAAACTTGCCCTGAAACTGAACTTGTAAGGATCATGGTCAGCCTGACACCTCTCAACACCTTCCTACAAGCTGCTTTAATAAAAGATATCTCTTTAAGTATACTGATTCTCCGAGTTTTTGGTCTGAGACCTACAATCGGCACATTCACCATTTTTTTTTGGTAAACAAAGCAAACTTTATCCACCTATTTCTCAGAAACTAATCATAGGATTGCTTAGGTTCCAAGGACACTTTTCTTCGAGAAGGCAAGACATATATCAAACTGAATTCTTAGACAAATCGACTGAAACACATTTTCCATATGTTTTGTAGCCGGTCCTTTGTGTGTTTGAAACAACAAGAGTATTTATGAATAAAACATGTGACAGGGCAGAACTTCTAATTCCTAATCAAACGAACAATGAGTACTTTTCTTCAATATCCTTTTTACGTTTTTGCTGATGTTTTACAGCAAATTAGCTTTGTTATTTCAAAACGACAGTTTTTGAAAAGCCAAGTCCCAATTTTCAGGATACCCTGGATATGATTACCAACATCACATAGATTATTTTGATACAACTTAAGTCCAAATAACTATAGAAATAAATGTATAACCTTACTATTAGTTCCAGATCATTGCCAAACAATCCAAGTATATAAGCATAGAACAACTAACTAGTACCTTTATTAACTGACTCAATATAGGCAAAATGAAACACTGAAGGGCAAAGGCGTTGGAATATAATAGCGTCGGTGAATGATTTCCAAGTAAACGAAAAACTGCTCAGAGACAGAGAAAAATAGACATGTGAAACTTCTTGGAACGTAGGACCAAAGACGGCAGTTCTACCTATAGAACTCAAATTATGTGTAAGTCCCTAAATATTAATGGCCTAAAAATGTTTAACCTACTTCTTTTGGAAATAAAGAATTGCCACAGTCTAAAGACATTTAAGAATCTCTTAAAAAAGTATTTAATTGAAAATAGCTTTCATAGTGTGAAAGGATATTGTGGTATATGCCGATAAATCTTAATTTTTTACTATTTGACTGTTTTTTGTTAGATATAGGTTTTTTTAGATTTGAAAATGTATGAAAATTCCTATACGATGTTTTTTGTGGAGCGGAAATAAATAAATAGAATAGCAATAACAGTGTTAAAAGTTATATTCAACAGACAAACTCACCAACTGATTCATTTAATAATACCAGTATGACTATGAAAATAAACCTATTTTTTTTTTAATGAATTTCTTACTATAAACACTATTCCTCCCTATAGTAAACAATTGAATTTTTTAGGAAAGTTGACAAAATCCTTCATTTGTTGGATTTTTATGGATTTTCTAACATGAATATTTTATTGGATAAATGTCTTTAATCATAAATAATTCGATGCAATGATATTTTTTGATAAATTCGAAAGACACTATTCAGCATATACTCGTAAATTGCAGGCTTGCAATGTGACTCGCTCAAAATAAAACCCATTAAAACAAGCTTGCTACTGGGGTACAGTCTTTTGATAGTCCCCCAAGTAACATATACAAGGTATCCAGGAATACATTTCCCTTTTTTGTGAATCCATGCGGATTATTTAGTTGAAATTATTGAGGCATATTTTGAAGAACAATGACTCGTACTCAATTGCAAGACGAATGTTTTGTGCTCACTTCAATATTAGCGTGTGGAGGACGCACCAAGTAAAAATTTAGTGAAATCGTTGGTGAAGAGGTTTAGAGAAAATTGTCAGCTTTAAATGTGAAACGCCCTGGTCGACTAAGGACTGTAACTACTCCTGAGAATGTTGAAGCTGTACGCGCCGCTCTAATTCAAAATCCAAGTCGATCTGTTCGTAAAACCTCACAGGTTTGCGTAAAGAATCTTTTCACACTAATTTAAGGAGAGATTTAAAGCTTCATTCAAATAGTGCAAAAATTAAACCCAAATGACTTTACAAACCGTCGTACCTTTTTTTTGCAAACGGCCGAATTAACATTATTCTGTTCAGTGACGACACGCACTTTCACCCGCAGTTAATAAGCAAAATTGTCGCTATTGGGCACCAGAGAATCCAAGGCAAAAACACGAAAAGCCCCTACATAGCCCAAAAGTAACTGTGTGGTATGCAATGTCGGCTTTAGGAATTATCGGTCCGTTCTTTTTTGAGAACCAACGTAGCATAGCCTAGACTGTGACTAGTGATCGTTATTGTGCAATGCTTCGGGAATTATTCCCTGAAAAGGTCATCTCTCGCTTTGGAGATCTAAACTGGCCAGCGAGGTCTCCAGATCTCACCCCATGTGACATTTTTTTGTAGAGATACCTTTAAAGTAAAGTTTATGTTAATCGGCCTAGGAATTTGCAAGAATTGAAACAAAAAATACGGGAAGAAATTCGAGCAATTACACCTGAATTATGCGTAGCAGTTTTTTACCACATGAAGATGGCATTGCAGGAGTATTTCGACCGGAATGGCACCTCGACAATATAATTTTTAAAACTTGAAAAGGGGCTATACTGTGTGTATTTTTGCTTCAATAAATTAATTTTAAAACTTCAAGACAATTTTTTAATATCCTTTGAAAAGGGAAATTTGTTCCTGGACACTCAGTATAAATCTCAGCTTTACTATGACGAAAGTCCAACTCCAATTTATTAAAGTTTAAGGGTGTCTGACAGAGGTGGTTGAAACAGTACTGTCTGGCTATAGATGTCATCTCTAATATCATTTTGAAGAAAATATAGAAAACTGGACTTATTCTTTAACGGACCTGATGTACTATTTTATACACCTTTGCTATATGTTACTTGCCAAAGTAACCACTATCGAAATTTCATAGTCGGTAGCATAAAAAACACTATTGTGATTGTTTCCCGACTGTAAACCATTCCGCAACAAGAAATAAAAGTTCAACATAGGCACTAGTGCTACTTTATTGTTGTTGGTACAGTTTCGAGGCAATTATATGAATCTATAAATATACACTTTATTAATGTGGTAGATCGGTAGCAGTAAATAAATTCAATGATTTCATCATAACTTCCCGCTTAATCGGTTATATCAGTTAGGCTATCGTTTACATATTACCTGTACGATAACGAATAAATGTCGCAGTTACTTCATAAACGGAGGCGTAGAAAACTTATTCTTGTGTTCTCTAAGCCTCTTGGCTCTTCTGGGTGTCAAAAATTTGCCCGTGTTAGGCCTGAGTAACGAATCTGTGCTCGGGGTCTGCTGTAACTTGCCAGGTGCATCGTTTGTGTTTACATTCACAAAACTTAGCCAATAATCTGTAGGCATTTGAATCATCCTCTCTACCACCTAGAACAAATAATATCAAGTTGAAGAACTCGTCTCTTCCAAAAAGCTATGGAAACAAAGTCGGTCATTTTTTCTACCTCGACAATCAAATTTGGTGATGATTGGTGATACCTGTCACAAAGTGAGCTGGTTTCAGGGTCAGTAAGAAGTATTCATAACTTCTCTGCTTCTAGCAAAAAAGTGAGAAAAGCTCTCTCGGTATTGAAATCTAATAAAAATTCTAGTGAGAAACTCTCAAAAAAGATTCTAAATGAATGTTTCAATATAATTCGAGACATTATTAGTATTGTTGAATTATTGTTTAGTATATGGTGAACTTCCATCAAAATTAAAGTGTTCCACCATTACTCCTGTGCCAAAACTTAAACATTCTGACTATATACAAATTTGCGGCCGATTAATTTCTTGCCAGATGTCGAACAGCTGTTCGAACAAATCATTGAATTCATTTAAGAATACAAAATTGTGACAAAATATCTCGCTAGATTTAGAAAAAAATATTCTACAGAAACAGCAATCCAAATGATGGTGGAAGACTGAAGAAGAAGTAAAGGGTGTTCCATCTGTTGCTTTATTTCAACTACCATTTTTGGACATGTTGAATGTGTCAACTGCCACGTGTTTAGCACATAGTCAAAGGTCTGCCATTTGTTACTATGGATTCTTTATCAACGCAAGAACGCATTTTGGTCGCCCAAAAATTTTACGAAAACGGACCATCTCTAAAAAGTACTTTTCGCAAACTTCGTGAAGAATTTGGTCGACATAATCGTCCCACAGAACGTAGAATTCGGTGGATTATCAATAGTTTTGAGGAAACTGGCTCAGTTAAAGGTCGTAGAAAATATCAACATGCCCGTCCGGTCCGTACACGTGAATCAGTCGCCGCTGTGAGTGAAAGTGTTCGTGAACAGGCATCAACTTCGATAAGACACCGTTGTCAAGAATTGGACATCAGGCCAACAACATTATGGAGGATTTTGCATGTTGATCTCCACCTACACCCATACAAAATCCTAATAACTCAACAATTGAAGCCAGCGGATCATCAGCAACGGCGTATTATTTTTATTAATTGGATGCTTGAATCATCTTTTCAGACGAGGCACATTTTTCCTCAGTGGCCACGTAAAAAGTAACTGTTTGGTACGGACTATGGGCTCGTGGCATCATTGGACCGTTTTTTTTTTTTTTTTTTTGAGGATGAAGTTAAAAGCCATTACGGTCACCGCCGAGCGTTATCGTCTCATGATAACGGATTTTTTTGGTCGAAATTGGAAGGAATTTATGCCAACGACCTTTGGTTTCAGCAAGACGGTGCAACTTCGCACACAGCTCGCCAAACAATCCACTCTTATTGGCCGAGAAATTTCCAGATCGCATTATTTCGAGAAATTCAGACGTGAATTGGCCTCCAAGATCGTGAGACTTAACGCCACTGGACTATTTTCTCTGGGGATTTTTGAAAAGTAAAATGTAGGCGACTGCCCCACGCACGATTCAACACCTTAAGCGCAACATTCGTGCCGAAATTGCGGCCATGGATCCGCTAATACTGCAAAAAATCATCAAAAATTTTGATGTTTGGATGATGGTATGTCAGCGGAGTCGCGGTGGACATAATGTGCGATGTTATATTCCATACATAACTGGCAAAGACCGACTTACAATTTTCAATAAAGAGTTCGGTTTCTCACTCAAAAAGTGTGTTTTTTTAGATTAAAAAGAGAAGGAACGGATGGAACACCCTATATAAATGGGAAAGAATGTATTGTAACAGTATTTTTAGATTTCAAAATTGCATTTCAGACTATAAAGAGGGAAAAATTGTTACGTCACTATGATTTTAAAGGATCGGTATTGAACATTTTGCAAAACTTAGTAAATAGAAATCAAAAAACTAAAATCGGAAGTATTATGTCAACCGTTCAAAATATATCACAGGGGAGTAAATTACATTATATATGAACGATACATTGATATATTCTAGCATACATATTGCATGTTACTCGCGCCTCTCACTCGAACACATTACGACCTCAGTAGAATACGGATTTCTCTGAATAGTTCGAAGGATAGCTGTCTAGTATTAAAAATTGATGGAGGTCCCGGAAAATGGCCGTAACGAACGCCTGTAGTTGGAAATGATGATGATAACGTCTCATACTGGAAGAGAGCGTTGGACGTGCAGAGTTCAAATGGTAATGTTTGAGTACTAATACTGAAGAATTAGAAATGCAAGCACATGTAACATTAAAATCGACTGCAAACGTATATAATTTAATAGCTGCGAATTGAATTTTAATAGGACACTAGCATTTTTAAGTATTATCCTCCCAGTGTTTTTGCCACTTTTCATATTAAAAAAATTAAAGATCTATTAAAAAATTTCCCTTGATTTAGAGATTTCAGAATAACGGTGGAAAACTTATGTTTAAAATTCAGAGGTAATTGGGAGCAATGAGTATGAAAGTGTGGTGTATGATAATTCGTTTTGATAATAGACAGGGTGAGGATCACTTACAGTGGCTTAGTTGGAATCGCTTTCATCCGCCGGCAATGCCACAGGTCGTAATATACAGTAGTAGTAGTAGTTGCCAGTAGTACCAGTAATCTGGGTCTAGTTCATTGTGAAAACTTCAAGTTTTTGTAATTTTGAAATTATTTCTGATTTCCCTACCTTGAAGCCCATTTCGGTCTCTTCCATGCATTTTCCCAGATTTTGGTCGTCGCTGCTATATCTCATAAGGGTAGGTCCAAATACGCGCACCAGGTTTTCCAAAGGCATTTTACACTCTGGAGATTCTGCAACCTAAAAGTCCAAAATCTCACATTATTATACTAAGTCACATAAATCCGAACACGCAGTTTAAATGGTTTTATTTTAATAAAATTTTGTATAAGTACTTAATGAAGCATAATAAGTAAATGATAAAAATTTCAAAATGATTGCACTGCTTTAAAGTCCTTTGACCTTTAATAATGTGTGGATGCACCCTGATGTGCTACGCATTCTCCAACGCGCCTAGGCATGCTTCTGATCAGGTGGTCAATGTCCTCCTGTGGTATCTCATTCTAGGCAACCACCAACTCCTCTCAAAGTGCTTCTAGAGTCTGAGGAGGACGTTGCAAATTCAGCAATCTCCTACCCATCATATCCCACAGGTGCTCAATTGGGGATAAGTCGGGAGATCTTGGTGGCCATGGTAACATGCAACATGTGGTCGGGCATTATCTTGTTGGAAAGTTGGATCTGCCAGGGTGTCAAGATAGGGTAAAAGATGGGGTTCTAGAACTTCGTGGATATAACGCTGCGTGTTCATGTTACCTCTGATGAAGATTAAAGGTGACCTGGAACCATAAGCTATAGCACCACGTCGCCTTCTAACCCTGGCACGACCATCGTGCATGCCTAAACAAAATCGAGACTCGTCACTAAAGACAATACTGTTCCATTCCTGATCCCAGAGTGACCGTTGTCTGCACCACTCAAGGCGATTACGTCGGTGTTCTTGAGTTAAAGGGAGGACCCAGTGTGGCCGGTATGAAAACAAGCCAAAACTTCTCATTCGTCGGTAAACACTTCGCATGCCAATAGGTCTTCCGTGTTCTGCAAACCATTCATTTGCAATGGACCCGGTAGTGGAAAAACGGTCCCTTAAGGCCAATAATCTTATACGTATAATATAATTTAAAAATATATTTAAGTATAACTACATAAATTTGTCGAAAAAGCAGCGGTTAAGATGGAAACAATCACAATTAGTGGTAAAAGGACAAAGGACGCAAGTGCGCATGAACGAAACATACACTAAACAAGCAGATACAAAAAATAAACGGAACAAGGTGTATAAGGAGTAAGTAGAATAACAATAGAAAAATAAAAGATACGCATATATAAGTATCAGAACCCTAAAAATATATTACAGCCTTAGTTTCCTATTATTTTAGGTGCATCACTCTTACGGTGAAAGAAACTCAGCTACTGAATAGTATCATTTTTCTATTACTAGATTCCTCAGCTCTTTCTTGAACCTATTTGGGCGTATATCTTTTAGTATTGATGGCAACTTATTGAATACCTTGGTCCTGGCTTAGGCTGATGATTTTTCGAACATTTACAGTGTATGCAAAGGTATACTCAAGTCCTGTTTTGCTCTAGTGTTGTAGTTCGTGTTTAAGTCCTGGTTCTGCAGAAACTGGCCCCTGTGATTGAAGGTGTAGAGGGCGCATTTATAAATATATATACTCGGAAGCGTTAGCAAGTTATTATGCTGAAATATTGCTCCTTTTAATGTTAAATATCAGCCTTACGATACGACAAAAGCGAATACACCATTGCGTAGTACAACATCAGTGTTGATTTGGGGACATTTGGCTTTAATTTGAATATAGTCTAGCAGGACCTATTCAGTTTTCTGCATGCACTGTCAACTTGTTGCTTCCAATTTAATCCTGCATCCAACTCAATATCCAGGAACATCGTATGTTAATAAGACGTGGAGTACTAGAGTGAAAGTGAACAACTACCAGAATTCAAGATCAGGCGATTTGTTTGGCACCTCTCTTCCATCTCAGATTTTATGACTCCAATATTAAGGTACAGATATTCAGGCGAATCAGCGTAGTTCACCACTGCATCCGAGAGCTTCAGATCGTTTATAAACAGGATGCAAAGAAGTGGTGCCAATACAGATCCCGGAGCTGTACCTATATTTATTTTATAGGTAGCTGACTGCGCATCGTTAACTCTTACTCTAAGTTCCCTGTCTGCCAGGAAAGACACTAGCCAGTCCAGCAAGAAGTCTCTAATACCTATATTGAAAAGTTTCTTCCTCAGCCCGATCCACCTCCGTTGATACATCAAGCTGAGATACTCTCCCACATTTTGGGCATAATGTGCAGGGTAACTATCGTGCTACAGCCACATTCTCATTCTTTGCTCTAGTGGAACAATTTCAAGTAATGTCAGATCATTACTTAAAAAACTTAAGTAGCTCTCTGCACTCAACGTCGTTGGTAATTCAAATTGCCCTTTGTCCATCTTTTATATAAGTTGACTCGTCACGCCACAAGATCTGGTCGAAAAAAATCAGGATTGGCTATTATTCTCCGTAACATGACCACACAAAATGCAAATCTTAGTGGATAGTCTCGTGGAAGTACTTGGGAGCAATTTTGTGGCCACCAAGGTCACCACTCCTCAACCCTCTCGACTTTTTTCACTGGGGGTATCTTAAGGAGAAGGTCTACAAGAAGCCCATTACTTCAGTGGAAGGACTATGTGTACGGATATAAGCAGCTGCAAGAGAAATCAGCGAAGCCGGATACACGCGCAAAATCAAACATTCGTTTATAAGAAGATGCAGAGCCTGGTATCAGAGCTCGTGGTGGTCATTTTGAGCACTTAGTGTAACTTCTAATAATATGTTTATATCTAGCGAGTTTTCTGTTCTATTTTCTTGTTTTGATGAATTCTTACACCATAAAGTTAATATCTTGGGTTAAATTCTTTTCCATCTGGTAGATTTGAACTGCAACATTACTAATACGTTTTGTAAAAAATTATTCACGTCTTGTTTCACTAGGTTACCGCAATATTATTGACACCACACGTGATCAAACTTGAGAATTTGTTTTTCGAGTTTTAATGATTTTTTTGAAAAGCAATAAAAAAGCAATTAAACCTATGGCACGAAGATGGCAATACGTGTATGTTGAAGAATGAGAAAAACCCTTCATTTGTAATCACGAGACTTGAAACAGTGAGGCGAGGTGCCCATTTCCTCCAAATTTGAAAAATATCACAAAAATTGCACAATTCTCTATTTTTGAATCTTTATGATGTCCTCTAACTGCAGGTTGAAGGTTATCCACTCTTTACGCCACACCCTGTATGTAGACTTTTCCTGAATGAAATATGTGTTTATTGTATTACATTAACCCATATAATAGAAAATACAAACAAAATACATATTTCCTATTGAGGTCACGAAATATCCATATTTGTGGTAATGTTCGTTTTGAAAATCTAACGTTTCACCATCGTATTTTTCACGAATGTGAGCGAACTTTCCTCCGTGTTGAAACGATCCATAATCAATTTTGCAAGTCTAAAAATGACGCTAAATTTATATACCAAAATATCTAGTGAAACACCATTTGTCTAAGTACACCCACATTCAACTTCCCTGAGATACACTACCATGACCTTTCCCGTCAACCTTACTGTTTAAAAAAAATCTGTAACCTTCGAGAAAGACCTTACCTTTTGCAAGTGCAGCATGAGAAACGCTAACGTATCCCTATTTGGCCTCGGCAACTGCCCTAGCACATGATACAACGCAGGCAGCACATCTCTTTCATCTCTGGCAGTTACCGCTTGTGCGAACTCCTTCCACAGATGGTGAGTGACCAAGGGTTCTGACAGTGACCGTAGAAAATCCTTCACGCAGCTGCATAGTACATGGATGTCTAGGTCTTTTAGGTTCGGGGAGCCCTTGCCGTTCAGGAAACGGTCCTTTAGGTCGCGGACGTCTTTCTCAGAGCCGGGGATGCGATATAGACCTTAGGAAATTAGAGAGTTTTTAGTGCAACAAAAATAACGAACCATCAACCTTCCGTTATTTTTGACAGCGGTACCAAATTAGGGTGGTTGGAAAAAGATTCACCAAAGTAAGCCAAGGTAAATTAATAGTACTAATTACTGATAGTATGACATGTTTTTTTTTCGATTTTGACGTTTTGAAGCTAACTCCAAAATTTCAAAACCCTGCTAAATTTCTTGGTAAGACACAAAAATTAAGAGAGCAAGAAAAATTCAAATTTCTCGGTGATTTTTGACAAAATGTATTTTGGTGAAATATGGTCGTACCCAGACTTTAAACAAAGCATTTTGAAGCTTTAAGAGTTTTTTTACCGAAAATTTACTTAAGAAATATTTTTTGCCTTCTTTTTAGTCCACGGGCTTGAAAAAATGTTTTCTATTTGGCCATCAGATAGCCCGTTTATTCAGCTTCAATACCCTGTTTTTAAACTCTCGATACGAGAATTTGGCGCGGAGATATCTGACTTTGAATGAAAAAGGATCCGTTTGTCATCAACTACTGATACTTCAGTAAACAGTGGTCGCAAAAAAGTCCAAAAAAGTTGCTTTCTGCCTTTTTTTGGAAAATTGACCGCATTTTTTTAACTACTAATATTTTCAAGATCAGCCGCTTGTCAGTACTTTTGTTTTTTTGGAAGGTTGAAGGTGATACAGATCTCCGATAGTGACAAAAAGAAAGAAAAATGGTTTTCCCATTTTCAACCAGATTACAGGATGTTTTGTTTCAAAACTTTTGCTCCTTTGATTTTTTTCAAATTTTTACCAATCGGTTCGGAGAAAACGTATAATGGATCGATCTACCGACGTGCAGGGTTATTAGAGGTACAGTGAGGTACAAAAAACCTAAAAACATTAGCCTTCTCATTAGAATTCCCAAAAATGCGGTCGAAAACAAGGCAGAAAGTAAATGTTTTTGACATTTTTAGGATCAACACTAAGGAAACAAAAATATTGCATTCCCTTTGCGATTACTTGTTACCGAAATATCATAGTCGATGACAAAAGGATCCTTTTTCATTCAAAGTCAGATATCTCCGCGCCAAGTGGTCGCTTCGGAATTTTAAAAATAGAATATTGAAGCTGAAAAAAAATCTATATGGCCTAACAGAAAAACAATTTTTCAAGCCTGTGGACTAAAAAGAGGCAAAAGTTTTGCAATGTTTTTTTCTTGTGCTGTCAGAATTGCATGAGAACCGTTGTTCCTGAGATTTTTAGACTGATAAACGTGAAAAATAGAATCATGAAGCTTGAAAATGCTTTTTTTAAAAGTCTAGATACGACCTTTTTACACTGAAATACAGACTTTCTAAAATAACCCAAATTTTTTTTCTTGCTCCCTTATTTTTTTGAGTAGTATTTGTGCCCACACCGGACAAGAAATAAATAGGTTTAAAATCATGGAGCCACAGAACGACAAGTGACCACAAAACCAGCTGAACTCCAATAAAAGGCTACCGTATCTACGAACAGGTCGCACCCTATTTGTGACTCACCTGGTATATTTTGTGAAAGACGCTCGGACACGTCAATTCGTTAATTGCAGAAGCGCAGGATACCCGTTACTCCTGTTACTCTTCGACCTTTGTATTTCATTTCGTTTTGTGGTTTTTGTTGTTATGTAAGTGTTCATATGAATGATAAAAGAACAAATAAAATATACAAATAGACAATACTTCAACGTGATTTCAGTTTCTTCTAGTAGCTGCTCCATTTTTTTATGAAAAAACAGTAGTATACCTTGTATATAAAAAATAGGCTCCGCAAATACCGAAAATATAGACTGTGAAAACGGTTCACATGCTAAAAAAACGTCCAAATCAGGCAACTGATTCCGGCAGAAATATGTAACCTCTCATTTCTTTTTTTTTTTTTTTTTTTTGACGGTGCGTTAATTAATTTTTTGGAGAGCATATAAAGAAAGTTTGGAAAAGGCATGATTTCAGACTTTGCACATCACATCTGCAATTCTTCAATTCAAAAAAGTTGTGTCTTGCCGTTCAGACCGAGTAATTACCCGCCGGGTAGAATGGACCGAGTACGCCGATTACCGGCTACAAACCGAGTACTCGGTGCATCCCTAATTTTGTTCAATAAAATGGTACATGCACGTACTGATGTATTGCGGTGCGAAAATTACGTAGTTAGAACTGAATCGTGGACGTATGCGCCCCCCGCTCCTCAACTGTCACAGGAGTATGTTCTCTCAGAAGTGCTACTTAAGCATGCAAAAATTTCTATTTTTATCAACCGCTGTTACAACGAATGAAACTTAGATAATAACATAATTCTGCTGGGCAAAATCATCTAATTACCATGTCGAATTAATATGTTTAATAAACTTACCCAGTTCATTGAGCCCTCTCTGCTCAATCTCCGTAAGACAATGCACAATCAGTGCCGGCACCATAGGCGGGTTAAGAGGGGCATAGTCCCCCACCGTTCCGCTTATGATTTTTCTCTGGTTAGGTGTGAAAGCGCTGGGAACACAAGGCAACGGCAACAGGTCCTGGCACTCGGGATGGGAAACGCATTTGCAATCTTTACACTTGGAGAGGCGTTTGCTGAACTTGATGCGCTTGTTGCAACCTGAAAGAAAAAACGAACAGAATTCAGGCGGAGGAATCGCACAGCCATCAACTGTTGCTTGTGTCGAGCAAGTTCCCAAGCACATAAGATCACGGCGCTCGCATTATGAACAAAGCAACAATTTTTGCTTTTTGGATTGGCGAGTTTGGATATGTTTGGACATTTCAGCTTCACTACTATGGTGACAAAAAAAACTGTAGGTCCAATAGTTCGGACAATTTGGCTACAAGATGCACTGGTTAGAGTTCACGAACTATTTTGAGAAACTTCTAGCATTCCAAAAACCTAGCACGTCCACCTAAGATAGCAATGGGAATTTCTACTTTTCACACACAATCAGAGTTGTGAACACTTTGTTGAGAAGATATGGGGGTATTAAAAAACTTTCTTATTTAAATCGGTACTTTTAAGGACCACAACAAATAATAAAAAGAAATTCCAGAAAAAATAGTTCAAAAAAAATAAAAATTTCAAGGATTTTAAAAAATGTTCTTTTGCCTAAATTTTAGGCTAGGGATAAGATATTGAGCTACTTTTTCATAAAAAAAATCATACCAATGCATTTATTTTTTGAGAGAATTAACCATTTTGGTCAGAAAGTCGAAAAAAAAGCCCTCTAGTGGCCACATGTGAAACTAACAAAACTTCGAATATTATAACATTTGTAGCCCAAGAATAGCTCTTTTCAACTAGCCCAAGTTTTTTAAAATCGGCTCAGCCATTTCGAAGATACGGGATGTTTTTCACAGGAACCTTTGACTACCCCCCACCACTTTATTTTTAGAGATACAGCAAAAATTGTCAAACAAAGAAGTTCACATTATCCTCCACTTTAAAGATCACGTATTTTATTAGGTTAAATAGCGGAATAGACGGAAATATCCCTTTTTAGATTCAAGATTGTAGTTACGCCCACTAGCGGCTATTTCAGAAACTTGTATATATTTTCCAGGTTTTTCTCTTGGCCGTTTTAGTAATAACTGTTTTTGTCGCAAGTTTCTACGATGGATAGGTTCCTAGATTCAGTACCTCGCATTGTATATAAATGATGTGGTCAATAAATGTTACAGTATGGTATTAACTATCACCTTGCCAGATTTCAGCACATTTTTAATTTCTGGGACCTCAGAACATCGATAATTCTTATAGTTTTATTTTCAACATACAGCACAATAACAATAAAATTATAAAACTTTAGAATTTCGAATTTCATTGGTCTATTTCCCCCCTCTTCCAGATGAAAGTTTTTGCTTTTCTTGGTTATTGACCTTGCTGCTATACAGTGTATTTCGATAACAGCATGAACGGTCATTACAATTTCAAGGAGGTACCCCCTAGAAACAGCGAAGCCTCCTGGGGTTGTTTGTCTTGTGTGGATATAATAGAAAACACAAGAGTTTGGCCTTGAGATGCAGAGGTAGTATTAGTAGTCGAAGATAGCTAAACTCAAGCGGTATGGTTGCGACAATAGTTCTGGGTGGATTTCCGCGTTCTCGGAGGACGTTTAAGTGGGACGCAAAACTAGAGCGGTGGCGATAGCGATCGCGGTGGCGGTCACCAGGCGGACTACATGTCCGCAAACCAATGCGATTTTTCAGCGACAAATTGATGATGATTGATGATGATTAGGAAAGGCAAAGGTGCCCGAAGACAGAACTTTGCCGGGTCAGGTCGACTTCACGCCTTGTGTACTTATAGGAGATGAAGGCTTTCTAGTTAAAGAGTTTTTTATGCGACCTTTCCCTCGCCGCCAGTCAAGAATAGATGAGAAAAGAAATATTTAATAAAAGTCTGTATCGAGCACGCCATGTCGTAGAAAACGCATTTGGTATCTTATCTCATAAATGACGCGTGGTTTTTAGACCAATCGAAGTAAAAATTGAAACAGCAATAATCATTGTTAAAGCTATTTGTGTATTACAGAGTTACTTGCACATAAAAAACGTGACCAGTTTTTAAATTTGTTAGAAGAACATGAATAGCAGCCCGACCTCGGAATCTTTGAACATTCTGCAAACGATGTCCGAAGATCAACAAACGCACCGTTTAATATACGTGAAAATTTTGTTTCATATTTTCATAATTAGATAAGTGTTAAAAGATACTTTTTTGTCTAAATAAAAATCTATAAAAGTATAAACTGTAGCTACTTACCCGTCGTTCCACCTATATAGATAAAGCAATTTTGTCCCATATTTTGTCTTTTTTCAATAGTCTTATAGTCACTGTGAAACAAGTCATACAAGATGGAATGTTCCCGTACATTTTCAATAAGTTTTTTGGTATCACACTCTGTATAAAGAATATCGCGCGAACTATGCGGGCAAATGATGCATGCCGCGTTCTACCGCAAGCCGCAAGTTGGCCGCAGTAGAACGCGGCAAAGAGAGTAGGCGCGTTTGCCAGATCATCGCAGGTGTGCGCACTTCGATTTAGTTACATGCACCTTATTTGCTCGCCATCGCGATCGCTAACGCCACTGCGGCCGCCACCGCTCTGGTTTGCGCATCACTTTAGTGTTTTGTGGAACGATCAGCGGAGGTGACGTGTCTGGTTCATCGAAAACAACAAATAACCTCATATGCGCGCTTGTTGCTTTGGGGGCTAGACATGTTATCGAAACAATAATATCTACCCCAGGCGACCCTGGGCTTAACTGCTTCTACGCTGTACAGTAGCAAAGAAAAGAAATTAACTGTTACCTGGAATATATTGACACGTTTTATAAGGCCATCGTGGTGGACCAAACGTCAGCAAAAAGTATTTTATACATAGTATATGGTTTCATATGCCCAAAAAATCATGGATTTCTATCGGCATGAAGACCACAGGATAAGTTACAGGTGTTACACTAAAAAGAAGAAGGTCCAAAAATACAAACCTAAACATGTTTCTGGAACCATAGCCGTCTTCTGCTGGAAGCAGTGTTGCCTCAGATTGTTGTTGCTCTCCATGTTAGGAGTCTTGTATGTTCCTGCATATGGAGTGCCCTTATATGTATGATGCGGTGTCCCAAGATATGAACGAGGAGTGCCTTTTGCAGTGATGTCTGTTGTAGCTTTAGGAGTTGCTCCTTTCTGAGCCCATGATTCAAAGACCATGTCTGGCGGGACTGGTAGCCCACCATTTTGTTGGTCACCCTGGAAAGATGCCAACATCTAAATCACAAACCAAACATCACACAAAATAGATTTGATTCAATGTTTAAGAGTATTTTGCAATAGTTTATATAACAAATGATTTGTAGCAGTTGTATAAGAGACAATCTAACAATCCAGTGGCGTAGCTTTCTGCTCAGGGACCCCATATCAAAACTTGTAGGGAGGGCCCGCCTAATCGTGACGAATCTCAAATGGAGGGTACAATTTGAAGTATAGATTTTACAAAATAAACATAAGCACTGGCAATGAATAATATGAACTGTCACGTATTGGGCACGGGCACCCGAGGGAATTTTTCTGTTAAAGGGAATGGATCATCGGCAAGAGATAACTTTTTATAAGAGTGGTCATAGGTCATAGTATGTAATGCTACTTCATTTTTGAAAATCGTTTAAATGGCAGCGGTGTTATGAGTAAAAATTAAAATAGCTTTCAGATCGGCTAAAAGTTTGTTTTGGTATACTTTACAGCTTTCTGGATATTTTTTTAAGGGTAGACAAACATCTTTTTGGAGAAGGAATAATTTTTGAAAATAGGAATAGGAGAATGCTAGGGAAGTATCGAGTTAGTCTACATGTCACTATTTTTTACGAGTTTTTCTTCTCTATCCATAGCGGAAGACGATTTTAGTGTTTCAAAATTTTCAGTCTCTGAAAACAGTATACAATATAAGATAGTCAAACTTGCCTCATAGAAGTTCTATGGTATTTTAATTATTTTTAATTTGGAAAAGCTTCTTTCAACAGTTGGAGTTGTAATCTAAAGGGTTAAAAATATGAAGCATGCTGCTTTTATCTAGCCATACACTCTAAGGTATAGCGCTTGAGAATTTTTAATTCAGCGTATGGCCTAACAACTTGGGCGAGATTGTGAATAACACTTAATCCATTTTTTTTTCATATGTAGGGGCCCCTGTAACAATCACTACAATCTAACCACTGCCTCCAGATCTATGTTGTATTGATAAGCCCTATTAAGGACAAGACAGTGACTGAATGAGGGGATGTAGGTGAGGGAAAAGTTAAAAGAAAAGTTTAAAAAAAACAGAGAAAAGTTAGTGTGTTTTTGTTGATGCATCGGGGCGTAGATGCGTGAATCAAACTGGATGTTCCAGAAGTCGACGTCAAATCTGAACCAAGGATGAAATATAAAAAATCTAAGTCGTGTACTTTTCAAAATGATTTGGTTTGAAAGAAATCTGAAAAATCTACACGCTGTGATGATCTTTTTTCTTTGACGAAGAGAAGAGAGAGTAACGCCACTTTTATTAATTCATGATTGAGTAACCCCAAAATGTCTGTATACAGGAATACGCCTCATTTATGGGGAGTGTAGATGCAATGCTAGTGCTGTAGCTAGGCTTTATGGTGAGAGGTACCCAAATCCTGGCGTCATCCCATTCTCCGAGTTTTTGTGAATGTACACCATTTACTCTCAGAGGGACGAATCCCAAATCAAGCATATGGTGAAGGAAGAATTTCCTTTCCTTCCGAGGTCGTCGTACTACAAGCAGTCGAAGAAGAGCCGACTATAATTCAGTACGTCAAACAGAAGCACGCACGGCAGTGCCCAAGAGTACAGACCCCCGAATATAGCGAAAGAACTAGCTCCACCCATACCACGTACAGCGAGTATAATCTCTACAACCCCGGGATTATCGTCCAAGAGTTGAGTTTTATTAAACAATGTTACAGTGACAACTGGAAGATCCGCGATTTTTGGAAAATGTATGGACTGATGAGTCGACATTTAAAAATAGATCATTAGATGAATTTACAAAACTTACACGAGTGACATGTAGAAAATCCACATTTGATGAGACAAGATAGACCAGAGTATCGTTTTAAAGTAAGCATGTGGACCGGGATTCTAAATGGGAGAATCATTTCACCTTTTGAGCTGCCAGAGTCCTTGAATGGCGAAATTTATTTACACTTTTTACAAAATCATTTACCAAATTTATTAGAAAACGGCTGCATGGCGTACTATGGCCGTTCAGTTAGAAAATATCTTGATGCGGAATACTCAAGTAGATTGTTAGGGCGATCTGGTACAATTTCGTGTCCAGCCCGTTCACCTGACTTAAATCCTCTCGATTTTTTGTACTGGGAGGTAAAAAATTACTCAAAGCCAATCGAAAATTTAACTGAGCTACGGGACAGATTAACGGAAGCAGTTGAATTTGTTAATAACGGAAGATTCGCCCGTCTGATAGCCCGATCATTTTTAAGATGGCAAGCTTGATTTGATGCTGAAGGAAGGCAGTTTAAATATTTATTGTGAATTTGATACATACATTCACGAATTATTAAAAGTGGCGTTATTATCTGTCTTGCTGTCAGTACGTAGAATGACACTGTCCATCACTCTGACTAAGAAAAATTTAAAATTCATAGTAATGGGAACTAAAAGATCATCACAGGCCGTAGATTTTCCGAATTGATTTCTTTGAAGCCTATAATTTGAAAAGTCCACGGCTTTTAGATTTTTCTGACAACTATTAAGTCTTAGTCGGAAATAAATGCGTTGTTGCCTGATACATAATAATTTTTGAATGAATTCATTGACCATCACTTGAAGTGATCGCATTTTTTGTTCAAATTTATTTTTGTTTGGACATTTGTTCGTGATGGCAATATTTATCATTCATTCGTAACCTACAATATATATGTTTCATTCCAGAGAGATATAAAACCTCTAAGTTATCACGTAGCTATAATACTACACGACTTAGTTTAGTGATAAAAGAAGGATGTCAGCTTGATATTCAAAAGTTTTCTATCCACAAATTGCTTATTTGACCAATCGTCCGCCTATTTGACATGATCACGAGTTACCTTGATAGCTTGGCCTTAATGATGATATGTTTACTTGTTTGGTATGACTTTTTGACATAACCACCGAAAACCGTGAAAAGGGCTGAACTCCATTCTGCTTAGTATATAGTCACTTCTGAATATCTTGTATAGTCAAACATGAGCTGCGTGATCAGATGTACAAGAGTTTCATAATAATAAAATCTGTAGAGATTTACTAAAAATCATTGTGATTGGAAGCGAAACCAATTTTTTAAATTTCAAAGAGTTTTTATGTCATTCTGTAGAAACTGCTTCTAAACACAAAGGATTTTAGGTCAAAACAACCATGATGTACTATACTAATGAACAAAAATTGGATCATATTGGTCATACTCACCTGGGGTAATGATTCAATAATAGATGTAGCAGTGATAGGTCCATGCTTTGGTACAGTCAATGTAGTGGTGGCTCTTACAGTATCTTTTGGCCCAATCTCTACTGCTGCATTAGATGATGAACGCCTCTTTTTAGAAGCTGGTTCTTCTTTAGTTGTAGGGTACAGTGTCTTCCATGCTTCCCTCTTCTTTTGAGTCTTACAGTATGAGCTGTCTAAATCATCCTGTCAAATAAAAAAAGATAGAATCAGTTAAAAGCAGTGTTCAACCTATAGCTACAAACATCAAATAAAATCCCTAATTTTCACAGAGAAAATGATGTCATGTGGGTTGACCACAAACTTCCTATGCAACGCCATCACGAGTTCATAAAGGTTCAAGTTCAGCGCAAGTTAAGCCCTATGAGAAAGAAATGTACAATAGAAAAATTAAACTGATCAAGTCAGTCAAACGGGCCCAAACAATTAGTCTATAGACATTCTTTCCCTGCCCTACCAGTAGTTACTGTCCATCTGGCAATGTTGCCCCTTCCCACATCGTTAAACGCGGTGGTGCCCATCAAAGTACAAGCAGAGCAATTAAAAACGGGCCAAGAATTAGTGGACAGACAGACGGACGGAAATGAGTTACATTGTAACATGTGTCACATAATATCCAAAAAAAACATATCTGAATTTAGAAATTTTTTGCGATTGCAAAACTTCCTCTAGCCCAGTGGCTTAGGAAGTAAAACGTAATTAAAACCAGATGACTTTCACAGAATACTTGGAGTTTACAATTTTTAAATGAAAGCTACTAAAAAAATTGTAATTTTATTCTTATGTAAACGTACACTCATAGCTCCATCACAATTCATTTATTTATCAAAATATAAACAAAAAAAAACGAGCACATGAGAGATAAGTCTTTTTTGTAAACAATTGCTGCAAATTTAAAATGAAATATTTTATGTAAAAAATAATTTACATGTTGACAGAGGGGTTCCTTACAGAAGATTAAAATCTTTTGCTTTGTTTTGTTTTTTAAGATTCTAAAAATAGTGCTATTTCTTCATAAAGCAAATATAGTATTTTAGAGCGGCAACTTTTTACTCTAAAACATGTTATACAGGGTGTTTCAAATTCGACCCTCACCAATGGGAGAAACGCTAAGAGATACGAAGTCGTTTAAATAGGGGCAAAGTTGCATATTTAGGTAATTATCAAAACACTGCTTAGAAAGTTTCGAAATTCAAAGTACTTCTGGAGAGAGAAATTGAAAAACCTGAATTTTACCAAAATCGGTTTGATTTTTTCCTGACTTTATTTATAGTCTGATTTGAAAATAAACTGCACATTAACATTGCCACTTTTTCTCCTGTACAAAATGGCAGCTGTTGTCCCCCACGATCAACTTTATTTTTCTTATAGATGCTATATTGGGTCTTTGCACTGATAAATAAAGTTTTTAATTCTGATTCAAGAAAAGGAAAATATGTCTGTAATTTAGTTATTTGAAAGAAACTGCATTTCCTAGGTAGGCCTTGAAATTATCATATAGTCATTAGTTTCATAGATTTAGCATAAAATCATAATAATCTTAGCACTGAAAATGTATAGAGAAGAGTCAGGCTTTGCCTACAAAATAATGGACCACACTGGGAATATTTGCTATGATTTACCTCTGTTTATTAATTAATGTTATTACCATCATACAAGATGGCATAGACATATTTTCACTTTGAGGTGTCTTCTTTCAACTTCCATGTCTTCAAGTTTCTTTTTTCATATGGTTACTATATTGGAGTTTTGTACATTTAAATCGATTTTTCAGTCCTGGATTCAGTGATGTATCTCCTTAGTTGACTATAAATTTGTGGTTGGAAAATAAATTATAAGGAGATAAAAAGGTATGTTGAAAACTGAACACAAAATGAATGTTTTATTAGCAGATAGCAGACATTAACAATGTTGTACACAAAGCCTGATTCTTCTGTGTACAGTGTTAAGCACTCAGCTTATTATGATTTTGTAATAAATCTGGTATAAGAAACAAATAACTATATGATAATTTCAAGGCCTACTTAGGAAATTGTTTTTTTCTAAAATAACTAAGGTTTGGCAATATGAGTGTATGAAATATTATACATTTTTTGAATCAGAATCATCTGTGCAAAAATCCAATATAGCATCAATAAGAAAAAATAAAGTTGATGCTGGAGGATAGGACATGAAATATCATATTGAAATTCTAATTATGCCATTTTGTAGATGAGAAAAAGGGCAATTTATTTTGAAATCCCACTATGAATAAAGTCAGGAAAAAATCAAAATGATTTTGGGAAAAACCGTTTTTTTTTCCATCTCTCTCTAGAAGTATCTTGAATTTCAAAACTCTCTCTGTGGCAGTTTGATAATTACCTTAATATGTAACTTAGCGACCATTTCAGAGACTTTGTATTTCTTACTGTTTGAAAGATCCTAATGATGAGGGTAAAATTTGAATCATTTGGTATATGCCATAAAAAATGACTTACCACACCACAAATGTTGTATTTATCTATATGTGTATGCACCAAATCGATGCAAAATCAAATGGATATATTGCATCATTTGAACTGGTTTATTCAGTAATTAACTACCTGATATCAGTAGATAAGGAGTATTATGGTGTTGCTACAATGGGGTCTGCAAAAAGGGTCAAAGGTCACCTCCACCACTACTACAACTAAGCCTATGTCTCCATCAAGCTTTCATATAACCAATTTTTTGTTTTTATCACAAAAAAAAAGTTGTGATTCAACTATGGGTGTATGCATAAGAATAGAAAAAGGTACCTTAGAGCCATAAATAACCCTTTTTTACCCTGCACAAAATTGCACATGTTTTCAAACAGCTTCAATCTATGGTCTATCAATATTCAAAATTCTAAATATTGTGGAACCTTGCTGAATTGAAAGAAAATGCACCACAAAAACAGCAATAGAGAATATAAACCAAGAATTCAGGATTTTCGTAGTACACTCAATTACAGTTTTATGTGACTCACCTCAGATCTAGAATAGCTCAAATCTGACAAAATTGACCCTGTAGAGTTAATTTCTGGAATAGTCCTCAAATGATTATCTTCATGTCCATGATCAGCATTGGAATGTTTCCATGTCTGATCCTCATAGATGTTTATCTTTACCATCTCCTCTCTATACTTATCTAAGATCCTATTCTCATCATCCCTCAACAATGAAATACACCACTCTGAAAACTTGTGTCTCAAATTATCCCTTTCTTTCTCTGCTTGTCTTCGTTTTCTTTTTTCATTGTCCAACATAGTTCTGGCATTTTGAAGGTTCCTCAAAATATCGCTGTTTTCTTGCACTTTGTTGTCCAGTTCCTTCAACAACCTCCTACATTCTAACAAGGCGATTTTATGTTCACTGAACAGAAATTTGATCTGTTCGGCAAGATTTATGCAGGTATCCAAATAGTGAGTTTTGTTACCCTTTAATGCGTCTATTTTCCTCATCAGATCGTCGAAAAGGGGTACCAGGGGAATGTCTGCATAGGTGTCTCCCGAAGTTTGTGTTGAAGCTCCATCCTCGGAAGTGGGTAAACTTTCTGTGCTGCTAGAACACGGTAGGGGTTTTTTAAAGGGCGTACTAGCCATTTTCAGGAAAACTGGTGCCGCGACTCTTTTATTATTTCACTTTTTTACAACGGAGAGAAAAATCTGTCTACCTGACTGTTTGATTTTGACCGTTAAGTATTTTTGAATTGTAACGGTCGCGTCATTCACAAACATCGCTTATTAGACGCGCACAGAACAACAAATTTAAAACGGGGCTGCGTTCGTAAATTGTTACAAAGTATACTTTGTATTACTCTGTATAGCGTTCCTAATAGTTTGACGTACATGTTCCATGCGTTCGGAAATATCAACGTCAAAAGTGTGCTTTCTTCCCAAACTCAAATACTTGGAAATAAGAGTGTTGTCACTTGTAATTCTCATGGTTCTGTTTCTTTACTTTATTTGGTCATCAAAAAGTGCTCAAAAGTGGCTCTATATATATTTCACGATAAATAGGCTACCTCATCCCCCTAGGGTTTCTTCTTCTTTCTACAATGGTCGCAGACAACGTGGTTAGAAATTAGTCGGTCGTCAACAAGTATCATTACGTTTGTAATAATTTAAGCGTTCTAAAAATAAAGTTTACATGTAAACTTTATTATATATATATATATATATATATACAGGGTGACTTCGAAGTTGAGTCATTTATTTTAACAGTGAGTAGATCTGATCAAAAGAAATGTTTTTTTCCTTTACCATTTTTCTGGTAAAATTAAAGTAACAAAGTTATAGCCCTTTGGAGGTTTGAGTACCGCCCTGTCTCAATAATAATATCATGTACTCGTGTTTGGTAACAACGGATAGAATCCGCCTTACCGGTTCATCGCATCGGAAACAAAAAAGCGAAAGAATTTGGAACGACGTTTTTGCAATTAAGTATTTTATTCAGTTCAGTTATACATACAGTCGGTTAGCGTGTGAATAGTGTCTGTTGCGTGGCTCAAACGAAATAAAAAATGGCACATGTTTATGCGGATCGGTTTCCCAATCGAGTGCAACCAACCCCTCGTGCCTTTGTTAATGTAGTACAACGGGCTCGTGAATCAGGTGACTTGAAGACCTCACAGGGGACCTCACGATCAAATACAGGTCCGCACTGAAATACTTGTCGGGAGGATACTTTATAAAACAAGGTAAAAATTCTTTTTATTTTTTTTTTATTTTTACACACATATTCTGGTTTATCTTCCTTCTACAATCATTATCTGAAAATTAATGACTCAACTTCAAAGTCACCCTGTATATATATATATATATATATATATATATATAAGTGACTTACAGACGGGTTGTAGAGTACAGACAAATTAGATTAGGTCGCCCTCGATGCGGTCTCCAATTTCATTGGTGACTTGATAAATGTTTTTTGAGGTTTCAAAGTTACATTTACAGGTTTCTTTTAGCGCAAAACGTAACTGCGGTGACAAAAGTATCAATAAGTATCTAAAGCAACGGCCCAAAGAAGACCACTTGTCAGCCATGGTATAACGACTCATCCGTTAGTTGGGATGTACTGATGTCTCTGATTCTATGGTGTAAGCCCTATTTAATCTAGATTGTGAATATGTGGACTAGTCGTTTCTCATTTTTTTGTTCCATGTCAAAGTGACAACCACCGTAGGTGTCACTGTTGTCAAAGGAAATAAACAAAATCTATTAATTTGACTGATTTTGACACCATCAATGAAAATATTTTTTAATCTCTATTCTTTTTAGTATAATGTGATCAATTTGGCCGAATAGCAATGGCTTATTTCCATTACCGTTGCGGAGAAAGGATCACTTTAACCAACGATAATTGTACAGCAATACGAAATGAGAGTGAATTCGACCATGGTCTAGTGATATCTGCTGAACCCCTTGTAAACGATGTCCCTTTCGAAATAAAGATTGATAAGAAGGTGAGGACGTTCTTAGTACGACGCGTTTTTTATGTACAAACACTACACCACAAGAATTGCACTATGGTTATTGTATTCATATATGATGCTGTATGTTTAGGTGCATATGTGCATAAATGATAACTATTGAGTTCCAAACTATAAAATATTGACTGGCATCTCGAGAACCCAATTGGAGACTCCAATGAAAAGATCCATTAAAACCAATTTTTAACTATCATCATTGTTTTTTAATTCTCCATTGTATAGAGGTGAAAACTATGTTTTCTTATAAAATTGAGAGGCCCAGCATATAATATGAGCAAATCAATTTTTGATGCTTTCAGTTTAAAAGATCCAGATAGATAGACAGAACTGTTTTTTGCAGTATAATCTTCAATTAATTATAAAATCTGAAATATATGAATTCTTAGCTATTTGTAAGGAAAGTCATGTGTTATTAACAAATAAGGTGCAAATAGTCAATTAATTACTTTTTTTTATTGAAGGTGAGCAAACACACTAAGTATTGCTATAGGAATGAACTTCTTACTTGTTCCTGCTTGTCCTTATATTAGGATGTAAAAATATGGATTCTTTTAGAAAGCCTTGTGTAACAATATGAATACAAAAATGATAGAATTTGATTTTCAGGTAAATTCATGGTCAGGAAGCTTGGAAATAGGTGTGGTTGATTGTGATCCATTAAGTTTTGACTTTCCACCATGTGCTTCAAGAATTGTGCAGTGTGGCTCATGGGTAAGTGTCTGTTTAGGTATTGTACATAGAATCATCCAACAATGTTTTTGTAATGTTGTTGAACATTTAAATGCCAATTACTAAAAACTTTGCTCATTATCTGGTTTTGCAGTAACACAACAATATTGTGTTATCAGGTTATTGAAATTTTAAGAATTTGTAATTCCTTTTTTCTTAGATTATGTCAGGAACATCTGTTTTCAAGAATGGTGTCTGTCTTGTAGAAGGATATGGCATAGATCTAGATAGGTTGATTCAAGATGATTGTATTGGACTAATGAGGACATCAGAGGTAAATTTGACTATTGATTTAATATAACTATTAAAGATAATGTAGCATTTGTATTTTTGTAGGGTGATCTGAAAATTTATATAAATGGTGTGTCCCAAGGTGTAGCAGCTGAAGGTCTACCTAGTACTGTGTATGCTATAGTAGATCTCTATGGAAAATGTGTACAGGTAATTTCCTCATTTCATCAGAGCCTTTGTTAAAGAAATTCTTCAATACCTTGGACCCTTTGTCAGACATTATGGGCCTATATATTAGATTTTACATTTTACATTGGAAGAGACAAAAGTCAATTTGTAACATTTTCTTGACTGGTTGTCATAAATTCTATCTTCAAAGATATTTTTGGAAGTGCCACAAGGATCTGTTAGGTCCAATCTTGTTTCAGGTTCACACTGCATATTGCATGGTCAGAGCCTGAACTCAATAATACCTGATGATTATGTTACATTTTTTATTCAATGCCAACCATTTCCAAATTAAGCAATATTAAGGTAGTAAGTTGAAAAAATATGTTTTGCAGGTTACAATAACAAGTTCAGCATTCAGAGAACATAATAATGATGACTGCTTAAGTGGAAGTTCTGTCTTAGCCATTGATAATGATGTGTTAAATGTCACATTAGGTGGTGATTTGAGTGAATTAAGCATGAGCAGTAGCAACAGTTTGGACATAAGAATGGACATGAATGTTAGGTGTGTATTATATAGATGGACTATTGTGTGATAAATAACCTCAAAGGTCAGTGCTAGATCTGGTCTTATTTTTTACTCACGTTATTTTTTACGTAAATTCTAGTTTCTGCTGTCAATACCACAATAGTTTGGAAAGACACAAATATAAATGAAATTAGGTCAAAAATGGTCAATGATCAATTAAAAAATGGTGTTCAAACAATAACTTAACTTTCAATGTTATCAAGACCAAATTTATGCTCCCTTGATTTTGTAAATTCAATTAATGATTTGATAGACAAAACAGACACAATCAAATTTAACTAATCATGAAGACCAATTACGCTACTACTACTTTATTATAAGAACAATTAGTTGCAACATAAGAATAAGCACAGCCTTAAGCAGTTATTTTGCCTTATTGGAAAGCAGATTGAGATATAGCTTTCCTTTTTGGTGTGACTGTAACAAAATTGTTTAAAACAACTGCTTATTCAACAAAAACGAACGATATATAATTAAAAGCAATCCTAGAGTTACATGCAGACCTTTATTTTCAAATTTTAAAATAATGACCATCTTATCATTGTTTATTGTAGAAACAGCAACTCATATGTTTGAAAATAAATCTAAATTTCAGACATCAAATATATTAAGCGAAAGCAAGAGCTTAAATTAGTAGTACCTAAATCAACACTGATGAAAGAGTCTGTCATTTATAATGGTCTGAAAATTTACATGTGCCTCCATGATTATAAAAGAATCAATTTAAAGATATTTCTCCATGAACTTAAAAACTTTCTTATTTCTAAACCATATTATACTGTGTGCTCTACAATTCATTTTCTTCAGATATGTAATTTTGTTCAGTTTCAAGTCAGCTGTGTCATTAAGAATGATTGTATTCTTAGGACAATAAAGCATATCTATCTATCTATCTATCTATTGTAGCAACATTGTTAATAAAATCTAAACCAATCTATTGGAACAGTCATGACCTCCCAAATCATGTGAGTTTATTGTTCCAGTTTAAGTCTTCCAGAAGAAAGTGCCAGACAAGACCGCCTGCGTTTTCACGACCGTTGCGGGTCCCTAGTGAAACTGTCAAATGGAAATAGAAGTGCTGAAAGGAGAAGACCTTTGGATGAATTCAACAATGGGGTGGTCATGACACATCGTCCGTTGCGCGACAATGAGCTGTTTGAGATCAGAATCGATAGATTGGTGGATAAGTGGAGCGGTAGTATAGAAGTAAGTATATTAAATGCCTTCAAAATATTATGGGATGAATTGGTACATACATATTTTTCGCCCTCCTTCAGATGGGCATAACAACCCACAACCCTTCATCCCTAGTATTCCCCGCGACGATGACGAACATGCGCAGTGGTACCATCATGATGTCCGGTTGTGGCATTCTCACCAATGGAAAGGGCACCAGGAGGGAGTACGGGGACTTTAATCTGGATGAATTGGCAGAAGGAGACAGAGTGGCTATGGTGAGGAGATCGGATGGAAGTCTGCATTATTATGTGAATGGGTTGGACCAAGGGGTGGCAGCGAATAGGGTACCGCAAACCGTGTGGGGGGTCATTGATCTGTATGGGATGACTATCAAGGTAAGTTCTTGTATATTCTTTGTGGCTGCAATGAACCTTCACTATATGCACAGTCTCAAGGCCGTACCTAGCTCAAAATGGACGAAGGAGCACCTTCAAAAAATGTTTGGTGGAAATTGTACAAAAATGTCGACAAAAAATATCTACATATACTATGCTTGATATTTTTCTTCCTATTTGCATTTCATTTATATAGAGTCTTCCACGACGATTTGACAATTTATATGGATATGGAAAACTACTAGTATTACTTTTCTGAAACATTCAAGTAGGATAAATGTGAATCTTGTTGTAAAATAAATTGTACAAAAGGATTTGTATAGTCATCTAGAAATAAAACAGTCTGGGTAACTGTTTTATCAAACAAAAGTTATATCTATAGAAAAGTTGGGAAAGTGGTGAAAACACCTTCAAAATGTGTATGTTCAGTTCGTTGCTGCAGTTAATTAGTTATGGCAAAACATCGTTAAATTTATGCCGAAAAGTGCATAAGAATAAATATGAAATAATAGCCAGAAGTTAAAAGCCTTTGAAACGATTAACTTACAAAATATCTACAAAAAAGCTTAAGCTATTCCACATTCGTAACTGCTGCAACAAATTAGACATACAGGGTGAGTTCTTAGTATCGAATTGGACAATGTCTCCATTACTGTAAGATATAATCAAAAATGATATAGGCAAAAATAGTTTTATAGAATATGTAGAAGGATATGTACCTAGTTGATTCTAAAATGATTTTAAAAACAAATTTGTTATTGTGATGTCCAAAACGGTAAGAGATACAAGTCGGTTGAATGGTGACAAAGTTGCATATTTATATATTTTAGAAGATACATTTGAAAAGTTTTGACGCTTCCAGTATCTCCAGAGATACACGGAAAAGGCAATGTGGAATGAATTTTTTTCAAAATCGTATATATATTTTTTTAATTTATATGTGATAGGATTTCAAAATGAACCGCACAATGACATGCAGAAATATAAAATGATCTTTTATTTTGAGTTTGTAATTTTGACATTTTTGGATCAATATCTTCTTCATTTTAGGTGTCAATAGTAGAAAGAGACGAACGCGAAGAGCAGAACCTGATAACCCGCAAGAGCGCTCGCGAACAACTGCAAGCGTCAGGCGGCAGTGGCGCCATCTCTGATTCGGTAGCGAACGGCGGCGTGGCGGTGTGTTCCGCAGCAGCGATGCCAGATTATTATGACAGGTTGACGTTTCATCCGAACTGCGGCGCGCATGCGCAGGTGGTGAATAACGGCAGGACGGCGCTCAGGCCGAACGCAGCGGATGATTTTAATAATGGAGTGGTGCTGACTGCGAGGACTTTGAAACCAGGAGAACTGTTCGAGGTAAGGAGCATGTCAATTTGTCATTTTGACGTTTCGAATAATTTGTTAAATTAATCATGTTGTATGACATGTGCTTCACGAAAAACCGGTCCACGTCCGTCTGTATGTCCACTGATCCTTGACCCATCTGCGAGTAGGAAAGTTCTGCTAGGATATGGATGAAAATTTTACATAAGCTGACTAGTATGGCAAGGACGAAATAGCTTTGTAGCTTTAGAAAATCGTTCCAGTGGCGGCGGTGCTACGGGGCAAAAATAGAAGAAACAAACATTGCTTAAACTTCGTTTTTTGACGTTTCATGGGAAATTGATCATTATTAAAAAAAATAGGTTAAAAATTTGGGGGTTGGAGGAAGATATATATTATTTTTTGGTGTTAGTATAATGTATTTATACGCTCCCAACCGCGATAATTATACGCTCCTATTAGACATATTTCACACATCCTAGATTTTCCCGTATATTTGCAACTAAAACAATATTATAGATAAATGCTTCTGCTGTCTGGGATCACCATCGAGCCCGTCGGCCTTGGTAAGTGTTCTGGCATTTTTGCCGCGTCTGCCGTGTTGTGCGGTCAGGTATCGTCCGTTGCCAGATGGACTACCGGTAGAGCAGGGAAAGAATGTCTGTGGGCTAATTGTTTGACTGTCAGTGAACCTACTTGACGGCATTTTTTTCATTAAGTTATAATGATGTCCATGCAACCATTCAGTATTAATATAACGCAGCATGTTTGTTGGGTTTGTTCTGCATTATTAACGTGAATTGAAATATCGGTTATATTTTATACCAACAATTTTTGTTTTCGCAACACGAGATTTTAGGTATGATGACGTCATTATCGTGTGTGTTGTAAGTGGGGAGAGGTCTTGATCGACGCGTTCGGCTTGCGGGTTAAATAATCACAAAAGGAACGTTGGACCGGAGCGCAACGTGCTTTTGCTATCAAGGCTTGCTTTAAGAGTGGTGATTCATACAGCTGCCCTACTCTATCAACCGAAGAAATTGTGCGTCGAGTTAGTGATTCGGTCATTGCAAATCATCGGCGTTATGTTCGGAAGCATTCCGCTGCTTTGAGAATCCCTAGGTCAACACTGTATGGCACAATGAAGAAGAAAATGGGTTTTCATCCTTATAAAATCCAATTAGTCCATGCGTTAAAGGACAGTGATTACATATTACGGAAATCTTGTGCTGAACGGATGTCGAATCTTTTTCCTACACAGCGCAAACTCGAGAAGGTTTTTTTCAGTGACGACGCCCATTTGCACTTAGATGGTTATGTAAACAAAAACATACAAAACATTGCAGATATTGGGCACCAACGAACCCAAAAGAGAAACATCAACAACAGCTACATAGTCCAAAGGTGACTGTTTGGTGCGCCATACCTTCTAGCGATATTATTGGGCCGTATTTCTTTAAAGATGAAAACGGTCATGCATTGACAATCAATTCCGAGCGATACAAGGACATGATCGACACTTTTTTTCCTCCTATTGTAAGAACAGAACGTCGATTTAACGGAAACACATGGTATCAACAGGATGGGGCCACTGCCCATACTTCCAGGGAATCGATGGACGCGGTAAAAGCAATTTCTCCTCAAAAACATATCGAAGTTTGACGACAACATTCGACGAGAAATAAACAACATCACTCCGGGACTCTGCAAGAGTGTTTCCGAATTTGCGCGCGCGATTAGAAGAGTTTGTCTGAAGGGATGATCGGTCGGAATGATATTTAAGAAATAAAACCCGCCGAATTTACGAATATGTTAATAGTAATAAATATTTTCTTTTCATTAAGTTTGTATTTTTTTTCTTGAATGAAAAAGTGAACTTCCCCACTGGACACCCTGTACATACCATCGTATGGGATTTTGCTGTGACTGTCTTGCTGGGCAATACGACCACAAACCAAGTCCTTGCTCAACGTGTCGCCAACATTGCAGCACAAACAACATTAGTGACGTCAGAAAAATCGGATGTGGCACGAAATTTATTTGGAGGAGAATATTTATTGTATTTAATGAATACAAACTTACTACTAGTACATATTCATTTTTAATATTGAGAATCATAAGTAATTAGTAAGCGACAAAAATATCTGAACGCATCAGAAATCTGAAATTGTAGCATACGTTAGAGTAGTCAATTTACTCTCCGTTTTGCTTACAGGTGAGACTGGACCGAGTAGTAACCAAATGGGCGGGTAGCATCGAGATAGGTGTGACCACACATAGAGCATCAAAACTCGAGTTTCCATTCACAATGACAAACGTTCGCTCAGGCACTTGGATGATGACTGGCAGTGGCGTCATGCATAATGGTACTATCGTGTTAGAGCAATATGGTACAAGCTTGGATAGACTACAAGTAAGTGTATTTCAACACGTTTTTTCTCGGTGTCTTAAAACCCCAACTCCACTACAAATGGACAATCAATTATTATTCTATTCATTCAGATTGTTGTCGGTTGTATGGATGCTTCTTCTACAGGGTGGCCAATATATAACTGACTGATTTAAATTGCGCGCCATTTTTGATACACGCATTTCAATAGGTGGTGCCATAGTAGTTGTTTAAAGCGCATGTGTCCAATTCATCATGGAGCGCTGCACGATCCCACAATGTGTCCGTATTGTTAAAACGTTTTACTTAAATAATGAGTCGATTGGTGCAACGATTCGGAAGTTACGACAAGATTTCGGTCGAAATAATGTGCCCAGTGTCAAAATCATTCGTCAGTTGGTGCAGGAATTTGAACAAACGCTACCGTGATATGGTGCAAAACTTTCTGGCTCCTCAAATCCAACAATTTAACCTGCAAAACATGTTTTCCAGCAGGTCGAAGCAACTTGTCACACAGCTAGGGCAACAATGAATCTTTTGCGAACAATATTTCCGGGACTTCTCGATTCGGTGATGTCAACTGGCCACCAAGGTCACCGGATTTAATGGCTCCTGACTTTTTTTATAGGGATTTTTGAAAAATAGGGCTTATGCCAACAAACCAAATATTGTAGCGTAACTGAAGATCAATATTACGGAAGCGATTGAAAATATTTCTCCCGAAACCTACCAAAAAGTGATGGAAAATGTAATCAAGAGAGCTCAGGTTTGCGCAGCTTCTAGAGGCGGACATTTGTCTGATATTATTTTTCATACATAATTTCTAAGTTTCAATAAAAGATTAAAATTAAAAAAATGGCGTATTTTATTTCGTTTCACAAATATTCAAGATAGAAACCAGTCAGTTATATATCGGCCACCTTGTATATGTTTTAAACCAACTGAGCGAAGTTCCAGTACTTCCAGGCTTGTTTAATTTTCTCAATATTCTCACATAGAAATATCAGCTTGAAGATATAAAGTGTTTAGTCTTTTTATCGAAAGGCTATGAATCATTTTTCAACAAAAAATGTTGCACTATCTACTAGAAACCCGTATCGTTATTAATGTTTTATCAACATTTCAGGTGGGAGACCGTGTTGGAGTGGTTCGAAAAGAAAATGGATGTCTAAACTTTTTCGTAAATGGCGTGGATCAAGGAACAGCTGCTTCAAATGTACCAGATAATGTATATGGTGTCATAGGTATTTGTTGAATATACAAGTAGCATCTTATCTTACTACGATTTAACTATATTTTTGTAGATTTATACGGCCAGGCTGTAGAGGCGACGATAATTGACATGTACGACTATGGATCTCCAGATACGATAAATTCGAGTTTATCGAATACAACATTGTACAGGTAAATAATGGCATCAAGTAGATTGACTATCCACTTCCTACACAACACTTTCATCAGTCCATAAAGGATTATGTTTAGCACATATTATCCGCCCTGAGCTACATGTATTACGAAAAAATTAAACGGAACAAGCCAGTCAAACATGCCCATAGAAATTTTCCCGCAGTCAGTCAGCCAGTTGCGGCGGCGCTACCCCGGCAGTTAAACGACAGTCATTGGAAATAATAATAATAATAATAATCTATTCCAACAGGTTGGCACCCAATCACAGGAAAATCCAATAATAAACATCAAATTCTATGCTCTTGTGTATAAAAAAAATTCATATTACAAGATGCATTTAAAACATGAATCAAAAACATTACATGAAATAAACATGAACATGAATGACAGTAAAATTGACACAAAAAATATACAGGGTGATTCACAAGTCGTGACCAAAAATGAAACATCATACACAGGACCGCATTTTAAGGGGGTCTTCTAGGTAACATTTTTTCCTCGAGGGCTTCGTTAAAAAGATACGGGGTGTTGAAGTTTAAAAATAAAAAACTATCAACTGAAATGAACTAAAATTTGGTATGTGAACTTTAAAATAAATTTAACGTGCACCAGTGGCGGAGGTACAGGGGATTAATGGCATTATTTTTCCAAATTAAAATAATACTGTTTTTTTTTTTTCGAAACGGGCAATTTTTCGAATTTTACCTTCAATTTGCTACAAATAATTACTCTTGTGTTTTTTCTAGAGTGCACTCTTTTCGTGAAAATAAAAATAAAACCAATTAGATCATTTATGAAGAGCCTAGATACAATTCGTTTCAAAATGAAATAGGAGGCATTGATACCAACTTGAGGTTTCTTGGGAGATAGTTTGTCAAAGTTATGTATTATACGGTTGTTATCGTTACTACTACGATTTTTTTTTGTACAAGTCAAGTAAAAAATTTCCTTTTTCCATTTTTGAATGTTGTGAAATGGAATTTAGCAATGATGAGTACGCCGATATTATTTTTGTGTACGGGCTCTGTAATGGAAATGATTTGGCTTCTCGGGAGTATCAACGTAGCTTTCCTAAAAGACGCCAACCTACCCTAACGGTTTTTACACATTCATTTTTAAGACTTCGGCAATATGGAATTATAAAACTTCCGAGTTAGAGACCATGGTGTCCGGCATACAGTTCAAGAGAAACTGGAAGTGATTAATTTGGCGTTGGATGATCCTAGTACAAGAACTAGGCGGATTGCAGCCCAGTTACCATATTCCTACAGTCTTGCGTGGAATTTTAAATCGGGAAGTTTTACATCCTTACCATCGGCAAAATGTGCAATGTCTGCAACCTGGCGACGAAGTGAAACGGCGAAATTTTTGTGAGTGGTAACTGCAAATGCATAAACAAAATGCAGGTTTCACTGATTTGGTTTTGTGGTCAGATGAATCGCTTTTTACGAGGAGTGGAACCATTAATTCTCACAATGAACATATTTGGTCGTTAGAATATCCCCGTTCTGTAAGAATCCACTCGTTTCAACACAGATTTTCTAGAAATGTCTGGTGCGGCACTTTCTGTGTCCAACTGTTTATGCACGTATTGCCACAACGTTTAAATGCAAACTCATACTTAGCTTTTCTAGAGAATAGAAAATGTGTTAGATGATGTTCCATTAGCAATGAGAGTATGAATGTGGTATCAGCACGACGATGCCCCACCGCATGTTCGTCGTGACATAAACGCATGGTTAAATAATCATTTTAGACAACGATGATATTGGCAGAAACGGACCCGTACATTAGCTTTCGAGGTCTCCCGATTTGAACCCCCTGGATTTCTTTTTGTGGGGCGCTTTTAAACAACTAGCGTATGCTGAACAAATTAATACTGTTGATCAGTTACAAGAAAGAATAGATATTGCGTTTCATCAAATTCAAGCCACAATAAATTTTGCGGAAATTCCTTTTTCTTTATTAAAAAGATGCCGCACTTGTATCCGTCAGAATGGTGGAATTTTTGAACATTTATTGAAATAAAGCTTTGATTATCTAATTTGTATTTTTTTTTATTTTTACTAAAACAATGCACTCTAGGAAAAAGCACCTGAGTAATTATTTGTAGCAAATTGAAGGTAAAATTCGAAAGATTGCGCGTTTCGAGAAAAAAAACAGTGGTGTACTATTTTTATTTGGAAAAATAATGCTACTAATCCCCTGTATCTCCACCCCTGAGGAAAAAATGTTACATAGAAGATCCCTCTCAAAATGCGGTCCTGTGTATGATGTTTCATTTTTGGTCACGACTTGTGAATCACCCTGTATATGTACAAATGAGGGCTCCATTTGTAAAAATAAACATATGTGGTTAAGCACCGCACATGTTTGTTTATAACTGCTTAAACACCTGAATGGTATCATTATCGATATCGCATGCTTGACAATATGTTGGTTGGCTCTAAGCGTATAGAGCTGTAAAAATCTGTTTGGTACGACAAAATTGATGTTAGATAATAATTCGGGGCAACCAAATTTATTATTGACCAGACTATGAAGCACTGTAATGTCATTTGCAAAAATATGCCCTTAGAATTATTAATAACCTTGGTTGGCGCCAATCCTGTAGAGAATCTTTTATAACACTAAAGATGTTGACTGTTATAGGTATTTACATTTATGAGTTGGCTGTGTTTGTTTTCAAAAATAAGCGCGAATTTGAAGTCATCAAACACCATCATGAATATCCAACTAGGTCTAAGATGCTTTTAATCCCACCGAGACATCGAACTACGGCATAACAAAAAACATGTAGGTATATGGGATGTAAGATTTTTAATAAGCTCAATGACGATATTAGGAATGAATCAAATATAGCTGTTTTCAAAAGAAAACTAAAACTTTTTTTGATAGATAAATGTTTCTATACCTTGGAGGAGTTTTTTGCTTATATTTATGTTTTTATACTTTTTTAACTCGTCACGACTATTTTTATGACCTTATCATTTTTTCTGTTCTATTCAACAATGAAGTGAATTATTATTATTATTCTTTAATTGACGACAGTAAACCAATGCATCAAAATTCATGTACTTGAAGCAACATACCGTGTCATGTATCCTTATTCTAACCCTTTTTATATCCACAGTGATTAGAGGTTTCATCATGTCCATGGCAAGATTGCCAGAATAGTGTACAGTGGCTTAACAGCCTTGAGACCAAGACCTCTAGCCGAGTTCAATGATGCTATCGTGTTTGCTAGTCGCCCTTTGAGGGATGGTTAAATCACATTTTAGAACCTTTGGAAATTTCCTTTGAAACACATCAGAAAATATTAGATATCAACTCTCTCATACGAGGCCTGTAAATTAATTTTTAATTTTCTTATTCAATTACAAATTTTATATTATCACCCTGAAAATAACTTTCATTTGGAGACGGTTCTTCCACTCATCATAGCAGTGCTAGAACTCCGATACTGGAATAGCCTTCAGCTGGTCTGTTACAATCGTTTGAACGTTTTCGACTGTCCCAAGATGAGTTCGCTTGAGGTGATTTTTTAACAGCGGGAAGAGAAACAAGTCACAGTCATGTGAATAACGAAGCTGAGGAACCACAGGAATGTTTTTGCTGGCCAAAATCTCCAAAGTTTTTTGAAACCATTTTTGCGCAGATTTTTCTCATCACCAATTGATCAAAATCTTATAAACGGTGGGGTGAATCAAATTTAACTCTTCCCTGATCATTCTGACTGTCAACCGACGATCTGAACGCACAAAATTCCGGATTCTGTCGATATTTTCGTCGGTTCTCGAAGATGAAGGCCTTCGTGGCTTCATCTTCAATCGACTTTCTCCATTCTGAAAGTGCCGTAAACCACCGAAAAACCTGGGCTCTTGACAAAACACTATCTCCGTAGACCTGATAAAGTTTAGCAAGAGTTTCCGTTACACTGTACCCAAGTCTGAAGTAAAACCTGATAGCACACCGTTCTTCGAAATTGATGGCACTCACTTTTAGAACACAATAGAAAAAACTGTTTCAAAAAAAATCGCTACGGACGACCAAATTTGTACTGAAGGCGGATCACATGTTCCGCTGTCTCCTTTCCAAGTCCGGCCCCTCCAGTCTTGCCATATCGAACGCTTCGTTGCCAGTCTCATTACTTAATCTACGGGCCTCGTATACTGGAGAAGCGGTTTTTTTCTAAATATCATTTTTACATTTTCGAAATTTGTCAGTCCGAACAAGTGTTTCCAATCTTAAAGACCTCGTATCTTTTCTAAAACCGTGTCATTTATCCTTATCTGACTAACCCTTTTTATTTCCACAGTGATTTGAGGTTTCATCATGTCCACGGCAAGAATGCCAGGATAGTGAACAGTGGTTTAACAGCCTTGAGACCAAGACCTCTAGCAGAGTTCAATGATGCCATCGTATTTTCTAGTCGCCCTTTGAGGGATGGTGAAATATTTGAAGTGGTCCTCGATAGCATTGTCGATAGATGGTCCGGATGTATTGAATTAGGTATATTTAATATTTTGTTAGATACCTAAATACGCAACTTTGCCCCCATTTAAGCGACTTCGTACCACTTACCGTTTTTCCCGACATCCCAATAGTGAAGGTCGAACTTGAAACATCTGGTATTCTTCGTCACAAGATCAAAAAACTTCAGCAGTCATCTGTAATTTCGCTTGTTGACCAGATTAAAGAAAGAGCAACTTTAGTAACATTTCAGCTTTTACTAACATTTGAGCTACCGCCTTATCTGAAGTAAAAGATAAACGTGGAAATAAAAATTCTCCTATCGATTGTATTTCAGGTGTGACTGCAGTTCGACCTGATGACATTGATCTTCCAAGCACTGCAACGGACTTATGTCGAGACACCTGGATGTTGAGCGGTTCTTCTGTCATGGTCAACGGAAAAACGGTAAAGAACAACTACGCTTTGGATCTTGATGCGGTTCGAGCGGGTACTAGGATTGGCGTTGCAAGAAATGCTACTGATAGATCGCTAGAATTCTACAGGTAAAAATTACTATACCACAGTGGCGGCTCGTGAGGTAGTGCCACGGTGCCATGGCACTACCTTGTCTTCTTCAAAAAGAATATTTTTTTCAATCTTCAATGTTTTACTTTATTTTCTGCTTTTTATTTTTTTTTTGGTATAAATTATATGAAGTGACAACACTGACAACGTGACAACACCGCAAGCACCCGACCGACGCGACGAGACGAGCATGCCTTGACCTTGACGTCATCAACTTGTGCCAATTTAGGGCCGGCCCAAATAAAAAGAGAGAAATTTTACCAGCATCGCATACGAGCGACAGAGATAACGCTACGCATGACATGTTTATATGAGGTGAATAGCGAAAGACAAGTATAATTTGTGCCAGGCACATCATCAGTCGTAATTCGTTATCAAATGATATCGGCGGTGTTTTTGTTCGGTCGGTCGTTTGGTTATGATTACGTCTAGTGCTGATTTCGGTCTTTTTTTACCTGAAAAGTGAGAAATAACGTTTTTGTTTTTGTACGTCTAGTGTTAATGAACTGCTCTGTTTTGTGATCATATTTTTTACTGTTTTATTAAAACTAGTGAAAATGAATAAAATCGGGATATTAAAAAACTCACTTAGTGGTTTTTCGCTGGATCAAAAACTGCAAATTAAAGAATTAGGACGGCCAATACCCGATTTAAAAATTGAGAAACAAAGTGGTAGCGGACAAAAATCGCGCTGTCGCAAATTTAATAAAAATGTGTACGATAAAAACAGCTGTATATGTGGTTGTGAAGAAACGAATAAACTATTTTGTTTTGTATGTGTTCTATTTGGAGGTGACGAGACTTGGTCAAAAAAAGGTACAGACGATCTTATACATATATGGGATAAAATGAAGACCCACGAAAAATCTAAAGTCCATATGAATAATGTTTTTAGCTTTTCTATTCTTGGTAAATTAAATATAAGGACTCAACTCAATTCGGCTTATCGCAATGATCTAATTAAACATAATAATCAAGTGGATAAGAATCGATATGTATTGAATAAAATTATTAATTGTATAAGGTTTTGTGGAGCATTTGAGTTAGCCTTAAGGGGTCATGATGAAAAGGAAAATTCGGAAAACAGAGGCATATTTAAGGAGCTGGTGAATTTTAGCGCCGAATTAGACAACGAATTGAAAGTCCATATTCAAAGTGCCAAACTTTTTGAGGGTACCTCAAAAACAACTCAAAACGAGCTTCTTGAGTGCATGCTAGATGTTTATCATGAAGAAGTTAAGAAGGAGATTGCAAATTCTCCTTTTGTTGCAGTAATTGCCGATGAAACGACGGACGTAGCCTGTGAATTTCAGTTAGTTATTATTTTCAGATATTTGTGTAAAGGACAACCAGTTGAGAGATTTTGGAGATTTTACGTCCCCGACGGACACGATGCCAAATCAATCGCTGCATGCGTTTTAAATGTTGTAAATCCATTACTAGATCAAAATCCAAACAAATTAATAGCTCAAAGCCATGATGGTGCGTCTGTTATGAGTGGTGAATTGAATGGCGTTCAAAAAATTATTAAGGAAACTTATCCACTTGCAAATTATGTTCATTGCTATGCACACCAGTTAAATCTAATTATGACAAGCGCATGCTCTGTCAATAAGCAGGCTAGAATATTTTTTCATAATTTATCTGGATTGTGCTCTTTTTTTTCGACGTCTCCTCAAAGAACAAAAATTTTGGATGAAATAGTTAATCGCAGATTGCCAAGATCTTCCCAAACACGTTGGAATTTTCAGTCACGAGGTGTTCATACAATTTATGAAAATAGGAAAGACCTGATTGAAGTTATGGACAATATAGAAAGTACTTCACGCGATTCTTCGTCGATTAATCAAGCCAGTGGGTACAAATTAAAGCTGCAAGATACAAATTTTGTATTTTGGCTAAGTATTTTCCATAAAATAATGCCACATGTTGAAATTGTCTTTAACCAATTACAAAAAGTATGCACCGATTCTGTTAAGGTCAAAAATGATTTAGAGAATTTTGAAGCAGCAATTCAAACTATACGAGAACAAATGGATAGCATTATTGACGATATTGAACGAGTGTAGAGAGAAACTGATGAACCGGCAAGAAAAAAAAGGCAAGTTGAAGAAGGCAGCAAAAAACGGGAAGCGTGAGAAATATGCGATGCAGTATTATCGCAAATAAGAACAAGATTTAACTTTTCTGGGCATTTAGTTGCTTCTAATTTATTTGTGTCTGAAAAGTTTTCTGTTTATAAACATCAGTTTCCCGAAGCACATTTAAATGACACATGCACACAATTTTCATTTTTAGACAAAAACAGGCTTAAAACTGAGTTACAAGTATTATATCAGAAAGAAGAATTGAGTACTACTTCTGGAGCTGTTCCACTATCCATTTTATTGAACGAGGAAGGATTAAATTGTACGTTTCAAGAAACTCTTAAGCTCTTAAGTATTTTAATCACTATACCGATGTCAACATCTGAAGCAGAACGCTCTTTTTCAATGCTGAAACGGATTAAAACTTTCCTCAGAAACACAATGAAGGAAGAAAGGCTTAGTGCTTTAGGAATGCTGTCTGCAGAAAAACATTTTGTTAGTGGCATTGAATATTTTAATAATAAGGTAATCGAAAACTTTGCTACCAAAAAAGAAAGAAGAATGGACCTCATATATAGAAAACTATAGTTATAGGTACTTCTCCACACTTGTTTTATAATTTGGTGCGCGTGTGTAAATAGTTTTATTTTTGATTTTTTTTTGGACATATAGATTTATTGAACCTCAAGAACTTTGACCACTAACTATCAGGGGTAAGTTATAAGTTATTCTTTACAATTTTGAATCGATTCAAAATTATGGCTTCCATTCTGGCACTACCTCACGGAATTGGCACGAGCCGCCACTGCTATACCATACCATTTATTGACCACATTATGCATAGGTACCTGTGTGATTAAAATTTTAACTCTAAATTTCGCAAAATAGCTGAGATTTCCCACCTTAATGATAATAATGTGTTGAAGCTCCTCTGTTCGCTACACATTCGTGAATTCGCCGCGGTATTGATTGGATTAGGTGATTGTCTCTTCTTGGTGTATTTTATTCCAGGCCATCTAAATTTGATTTCGTAGAGCCTCCAATGTTTGTGGAGGGTGCGGTGAGTTTTGCAACCTTCTTCCCATCATGTCCACATGTTCGATGGGGAAAAGGTCTGGGGATCCAAAAGGCCACTAAAACAGATTTACTCCGGACGCTTCTAAAATGTCTAAACTAACACGTGCAACATGAGGTCGTGCATTGTCCTGCTGAAAAAGTGGATCTTGCAATGTTTACAAAAAGGGAAGCAGATCTGGTTGTAAAAGCGATCTCAAATGAACACTTATCGTGATCTGCAGCCGTAAGCAATGACACTCCATACCATAACACCCACAGTGCGATGAATATGCCGTTCGATGGAATATTGGTCTTTCACCACTCTCCTCCTTCCGCGGCCATTATGTGTGCCCAAACAGAATCTGGACTCATCGCTGAACACGACTGAGTTCCATTCCATATTTCATTCAAGTCTCTCCCTACTCCATACCAATCGTTGCTAACGATGCTGTGGGGTCGGAGGTAGTGCCAGATGGGGACGGTATGAAAACAGTCCAAAAGACCTTATTCGACGATAAAATATCCTCATTGTTATTTCCCTTCGGACAGCATCAAACCACTGGTTCGCAACTGCCTTTGTGGAAAATCGATCTCTAATTGTCTCAAATAACGATTCTATCGTTCTCTAGTCTGTCTTTGATGTCCAGTACCTCTAACTCATCGATTTCGGCCTTCTTGGAACCACGCTCAACAACATATCATTACAGTAGATTCGTTTCTATTCACCCGATTAGCGATTTCTCTAAAAGAAAATCCGGCTTCGCGTAACCCGAATATCCGAGCCCGGAAAGTTGAATGAAATTAGCGCGTCTGCGAGCTCTAGGCATTATAGTGCAATGAAATAACAATGAAACAAATGGAACCAACACAGAAAAATCACTGAATATTAAGTGAAAATGTTAATAGTGTTCGGAACCTGATATGACAAAAAAGCCTTTACAAAAAAGTACGGCTCGGAATACGTTCAGCATTTGACCAGCGTATACCTCCATGATAGCAAATATGTTTACAAGTTTTTATCAAAATTCAATAAATAATTCTGAGTGTTGTATTTTATATGTAACCTAGTCGACCAGAAGTCGACGTCAAGCCGAAACCGGGTGATAGGCAAAGTTATAACAGCTATCAGAAAAATATTTAAAAAAATTTTATGTATATGTTTTGAAAATTATAGGTCTTTGAAAAAAATATAGAAAATTCACACCGTACGGCAGTCTATCAACTCCTGTTACTACAAATATTAACTTTTTTTGGATTTTATTTTTACAATGTAATGATGAATAATGCATCTTCAAACTGGTGTCTCAACCTTACTGCCAACTTTTCTCGTTCAGGAAAAATTGCCACTTATTTCGCAACCAAGTATTCCAAAGTAAAACTTTGCTCAACTTTAACTGGCTGTACTGGAAAAAAATGTACAACGAGAGTTTGGCAAGTAACCTTAAAAGTTGGCGCATTTAATAAGGATTCCAAAATGGTATAACACTTAGAAGATTACTCGTTAACTTATGCACAATTTTTATTTGAAGAAAAACTGATGAAAATTTTTCAAAATTTCCTAATTAAACAGCGATTATGAAAACGCACAAGGACCCTTAAGGATAACTGTTTGCACAACAGTGGGCGTCAAAATGCTGCTGATGATGATTTACCTTTACAGCAAATGCTCAAACTGTTTTCCTTCAGCCGCAATACACGCTCGACATCTTCTTAAAAAAGATCGGGTTATTAAACGAGCGAATCCACGGTTATTAACAAACTCAGCTACTTCCAATAGACTTTGCCGTAGCTCAGCTATATTTTGAATCGGCTTGAAATACACTTTTTCTTTTACAGTTCCCCAGTTAAAAAAATCTAACGGATTCAAATCTGGTGACCGGGCTGGCCACGGTATTGTACCAGACAGCCCTATCCATCTGCCTGGAAAGTTTTGATCTAGATACTCTCTCACTGAGAGTGCATAGTGCGCTGGGCAGCCATCATGCTGAAACCACATGTCACTGTAAATACTCAGTGGCACGTCCTCCAATAAATTTTCTATATGATTTTGCAAAAAACCTAAATAAACCTCAGCAGTCAAAGTCTCTGGGAACTCAAACGGACCGATTATTTTACCATTTAAAATTCCTGTCCAATGGTTTATCTTGAAGCGATATTGAGATTTATCTTCTCTCATCAAATGTGGGTTTGCTACGTGCCTCTCGTGTAAGTTATGCAGGTTCATGTACCCATCTTTCTTAAATGTGGTCTCATCTGACCATAAAATTTTTTCAAAGAACCGTGGATCTTCCCTGTGTCTTTCTAACATTGTGCGACAAAAAGCAACTCGGGGCTCATAATCCCGGGGCAGGAGAGGTTGAACACGCTGGTTTGGTGCCCATGATGACTAAGCTACCCTTATTTCATAAAATGGTTTTACGCTATTTGGAATCAATGTTTTACATTGCCCCAGAAAAGTAGTAAAATGACAATATTTCCAGGGACGGTGTTCCACAAGGTGTGGCATGCTACGTACCACCACATCAAGCGCCTAATTTGTATGCTGTTGTGGATCTCTATGGTCAGTGTGCACAAGTCAGCGTACCTGGTGCTTCACCACCTAACGTCGGCCAGCAGATACCAGCAATAGCAGGTAATGTATACTAATCTTTTGATACAAGTAGAGGACAACGAATTCACCCAAAAAGAACGCCATGTTTTTGTTTGACCAGTTTATCTCTCTCTAATGTATTCGCCTTGTCTAACTCTTCTTCGTTTTGGTGGAAGTTCCACTAGTAATCTCTTTATAACCATGCTTGACATTTTTCTTTCTATTTGCATTTCATCAGTATAAAGACCTCCGCGACGATTTAACAATTCATATGGATATGGGAAACTACCAGGATTCCTTTTTTGAGACATTTAAGCAAATATTGCGCGAGATGCTTTTCTAAGGAATAATTTAGTTGTTTGCAACACTTGAAAGCAATACAAGAGTTAATATATGACAAATGTTCGTTATACTGCAACTTGTATATGCCTATTTTTGGGCGTGCATGTCCCTCAAAATTCAAACAGGGTGCGCCCTTTTTGATTCAATAGGCAAGGAAGTTCTGTAATCGCGAAAAACTTCAAATGGAACAATAGTCTTCAGATGCAACACCTTAGGTACATTTTTTGTGGCGCTCGTTAGGTAATCCTTGGCCCTCTATTACAGACAGAAAAAATTTTTAGTTAATCGGCCCTGTTGCGATAGAGTAATCGTCAAAAAAAAACTACTTCATCAGTGGTCCTTCTATAACTTTGAAAGTATCAGTGTTTTCTGAATTTATTTGAGATAGGATTCCAAAATAAACTTCACATTGACATTGCCACTTTTCAATCTCTGCAAGATGGCATAAATAGAACATTAATATGATTTTTCGTCTCTTATCCCCCGTCTCAACTTTGATTTTTCTTATGTATGCCATTTTTTCATAGGCGAAAAGCTATTAATTCTGATTTCAAATGTTATAGCATATCATACATTATTTTAAGAAAGAGTTTGCCTGAGTAAGTCTTGAAATTATCATATAGTCATTTAATTCATAGAATATCAAATATGATAACATGTTAAGCATTGATATAAAACTTCAAATGCCTAACTTCATATAGTTGGTTTAAACACATCCAATGAGGAACAACATAATTTAACTCATTGATATTATTTAAGGGTAATAAGGACATCGGAAACGGTATAATATTAAAAAAACCGACAGCTGAAAGGTCAGATCGGAATTCTAATTATGCCACCGTGGTTTGTCAAACCGATTTTAATCCTTATCCCATACGATAAAACTGGCAGAGAGACGCATAAGTCCTCTGGCCATAACCGCTCGACGTTTTGCGATCTACACAAAGATGTCGCAGGCACCACTATCACGATCGACTGTCATGTGATCGGAATACTAAGTATTCACAGAGAAAACCAGCAATAATTTTTTATCCATATGTACATAAATAGACACGGCTGAAAGACCATACCCACTTGTTTGCTTCTTGTTCGTCTGTCTCTAAGACTATACCTAGGATGTATACTGCACTAATGGGTTGCTAATGAGCACGAAACATGCGGACGGAAAACGGCAAGCAAACATGTCTATTTCAGCCATTCTACTTGTTTATTTACAATGTTTGGTTGTTGCAGGTGGCGAGCCTTCTTCCCACCGATCCGACACGTCCGCATCCCTCCAAGGCGGTCAATTGATACTGAGCGGTACCGGCGATGGTTCCTCAGCTGGTGGTCCACATAGGTTTTCAGAGCACCGAGCGCGCGGAGTGCATTTGAATGAAAGCGGCAGACTTGCAACTAGAGTCAGGGATTGCTTATCGGCTGTTGTCTTCAGCGCTCAGCCATTGATGCAGGTAATAATATAAGCCTTCAATCGTGAATATCTGTTTTATTTATTTCGCAGAAATATTTCACGCTGAATAAAAAGAAACTTCCCTGGAGATGTCAAGCGCAAGTAATACATGAAGCTTATCTTGTGGTTTTTATGCTAATAGAACTCCAGGATTTTATAGCCAAATGAAACATCGTACAGCCTACCTGATGAGGTTTTCCCAGTTGTGCTAAGCTTATGCAGTTCAAAAATCGAATTAACAAGGCGTTTTTTAGTTTCTTATAGCAGTCGGGGTGCCCCGACGCGACTGGTTCTGTATAAAAAATAACAAATTAAGAACAATAACAAGTATTTTGTACTTTGAGCAAGGCCACTGCGGTGGCCAAACATCAGTAAAAGTAATTTATACATATGAGAAAAGTAACACAACCCGAAAATACTAGCTTTTAGCGAAGTAGAAACGCTCACAAATAGAGTCTATCCAATGTGTGGTTTAAGTTTCGCTATTTCGTGATATTAAAATTTGCCTATCTGCAAAAGGAAAAGTTGAATCAATAATATGATGATAAGAATTTCAAATCGTGTTTCCCGATAATTTAGCTTTTTGGCTTATGCCACGTTTCTTCTGGACGAGCGATATGTGGTTTCATTTGGCTGGAAAATCATGGAGTTCTATCATTCTATTTTCAGGATGAAATGTTCGAAGTATCAATCGTGACACTATGTCGCTATATGGCAGGAACATTGACGATAGGAGTAACGGATGTGCCACCAGCACATTGCTTCAATGCCATGCCAAAAGAAAGCCACTATATTACAGGTGAGATTCCTAATAAAGGCCGACACTTCGGACTTTTTTATCGTATCATGTTCTTGATATAAGATAAGCGTTCGTACGAGGTCTGTAAATTAAATGATGAGACTGGCAACGTAGCGTTTGTTCGGGCAGCGCTGGAGACGCCGGGCAGGGGAACATGTATTGTGATCCGCCTTCAGCACAAGTTTGAACTCGCTCAAGTGGTTTGGTTGTATGTTGGGATTTTTTTTGTGAAACAGATTTTTCTGTTGTGTTCTAAAAATGAGCGACATCAATTTCCAGCAACGGTGTGCTATCAGGTTTTGCTTCAGACTTGGGAACAGTGTAACGGAAACTCCTGCTAAACAGACCTACGGAGATAGTGTTTTGTCAAGGGCCCAGGTGTTTCTGTGGTTTCATGCATTTTCAGAGGCGATGAAAATGTCGACAGAATCCGAGATCTTGTGCGTTCAGAACGTCGGTTGACAGTCGGAATGATCGGGGAAGAGTTGAATTTGACTCACACCACCGTCGATCAGATTAACAACTGGGTGTTGCATCACCATAAAGCTCGTTGTCACATAGCAATGTCAATAAACGAGCTTTTGGCCAGTAAAAACATGCCTGTGGATCCTCAGCCTCCTTATTTGCCTAACTCGAGTCATTGTGCCTTTTTTCTCTTCCCGAAGTTGAAAAATCACCTCAAGGGGTCGAAAACATTCAAACGGCTGTAACCGACCAGCTGAAGGCTGTTCCAGTATCGGAGCTCCAGCACTGCTTTGAGGAGTGGAAGAACCGTATCCAGCGCCGCGTGGCTTCAGATGGAAGTTTTTTTGAGGGTGACAATATAAAATTTTAATTATATTTGAATAGAAAAATTAAAGAAAAATCTCAGTCTAATCACTTATTTTGCAGACCTCGTACACCTCGATAAGAATTGCACTATTTCAAGCACGCTATTCCTTTCGAGAAAGTGGGTTACGGGTACGGTTGGTAGGTTAATCTAAATGTTGATTTTGTTTTGTTTTCAGGCAACGAATTACGCTTTGCAGACAGAACCGTCCAGTACTTTACGCCCAGCTTAGATTGGCTGAATTGTGATGATAGAATAGGTAAGTATACTTATTTTATTTAATGTATTCTACGACCGACCAGTCTAAACAAGGTAATAGTTAATGTATCACCTGAAACTTATTCTGTGATTTTCTCGTTGCTGTATATCCATGCAGTAGTGCAAAACCTTATCTACCTTAACTAAAAATGCTTCTTTCGTGCTTCCGTCCAAAGACAGTCAACCATGGATAGTTGTTTCGTACTTTTTAGCAACTCATCAGAATATTCTAGGCTGGGTCTATGGGACAATTTACTGAAGTACCCTTTATCCAAAGTATGAGATCTACCGAATCTATTACGAGAATCGACGTCCGCGAGACTGAGTAGCAGCTATCGGGTGGAATTGTAAAATTGTCAGTGACCTTTACATGCTGACGGATCTGGTGGTACAGTAGATGTGGGCTACTCGTCATTGAACAACTAAACATGCTGCTCTCGCCGTGCCCGATTCTGATAATAGATGACTTACGTACCTTTCGAAGGGTGCCTCTTATAAAATATGTCGAGCTCTACAGAGTTCGCTGTAGGTGATAAGTACATTTGATGCCAAATATTCACAGATCTCATATCTTTTGCAGGTATACTTCGAACAGCTGACGGCGCAGCTCGGATATTTATAAATGGCGAAGAGCTTCCCGTCTGTTTCCCTCCACAACCGGATACAGCGCTATACGCCATGTTCGATCTCAGGGGAGCTTGTTGCGAAATCGCTGTCACGAGTCACTCTCTGGTCGCAGTTGGAATGTCACCGATGCAAAGCATTAGGTATGGACTGGACTTTCAACACTATTCCTAACGTTTCTTCATCATATACACATATTCCGTCCACAACGAATCTTAAGTATCGATGATTTCGTGAGGCGTGGGGATATAACATGACTCAGGGAAAATGATCTTATCTGAAATTTTATTTCTTGGGGTTTTTCGGATCGCTGATTACAAATCAGAATTACCGATTTTCAAAATAGCACAGCCGGTACATTGGATACTATATCATAATTGAAGAGTGGCAATTTAAAACCATCTAAGTGCCACATTTCGGTATTTTCGAATTTCAGTGATTTTAAGGTCTATGTACCGTTGCCAATAGTACCAAAGAGTATATGTGCCAGTCAAGAATAAGCAGTTCTATATATGTATTTCAAATCCGCCTAACCGTCAGGTAAGTATTTTTGATAACCAATAACCTAAAAGGTCGCTTTATTTCAAGTTTGCCAGATCTGGTGGTTTTTCACCAGGTTGCTGTTTTTTATCTGTTTGGTAATTTGGCGAAATCTTTCGACAAATGCCGCATTTCTGGTGATTTTTTTTGATTTTCATTTCTTACTTGGAAGTACTTTGTGTGACACTTTTCCTACCTGGATGTCCATCTTTCAGATACAGAATGTGCATTCATGTGCTTATAGAAAAAGTCACTGACGGGTCGTGGCGGAAACGAAATTACTTCTTGTTTGTTTAAGGTTTTGTCACAGGAAACTTTCCCAAGAAGAAACAAACTTATTGTCTGGAGCGACAACTGTATTGGGCATAATAAAAATAAAATTTATTTATTTAGTAGCATCGGCATATAGGACCAAATAATAATAATAATAATAATAATAAAAAATCTGCTGTGATAGAGATTTTGCGCAAATTGAAAGGCGCAAAAAAGTTACTAAAACCTTTGTTATAGCATATAAAAAAGCAATTATACAAGGTGCGTGTCACAAGCATCCTCTTGCTGCAATAACCATAGGGTAAGAGACTTTAAGGATTTTCAAACAATGGCTGACAATGTTTTAAATACGACCAAATTGCACATTTCGACGGTGTTCAGTCCTATATTGATTGATAAAGGTATTCCTACTTTGGTGAAAACTCGCAAAACTTGGCGACATTGAAGAATGACAGACCTGTAATGTCTTAAGAAAAGGAAAAACTGAACACGAAATTTTGGATCTTAATTTATGCCTTCTGGATTGCAAATACAGAATTTCTGCCCAAAAAGTAAAAAAATTGAAAGATAAGCTAGACTACATACCTCTAAAATATCAGCAGTTTTGATCGAATTTGGTAGAAAAATAAAAAAATTAGTAAAGCCACTCGGACTTTTTATGATTGACTTACTTCGTTTTAGAAGTTACTTTTCTTATTGTAACAAAATCTGTACTTTTTCAGTGTGTCTTATTCCATTTATGTAGTACATTAAAATAAGCATTTGTTTCCAACTGTAAAACTTGTTTTTTAATGCCTGATATGTTTTTCTTTAATTTCTGAACAAAACCTTTTTGGCACTTAGACGCTTTTGTATTACCACTCTCCAATTGATGATGAAAATGTTATACTACTGTACTTTCTCAAAAATGGCTAATTTTACGCTACGTTCTCACGAAACTCGACACGAAAGCGTGATCCTGGCATTCGTGGAATTATCTCTCTGTCTGAACTAGGTGTCGCGAGTTTACCTCTGTCGTCATCGGGAAAGAGGCAAGCCGCTCACGATTGCTATTTTAACAAAAACGCCGTTTTTACTGCCCAAAATTCAATTTATTACTTTTACACTAATTTTTGACAATTTATATCCATGTTAACTTTACGACGGCTTCCGCGTCCTATGGTGAGTCATCGCCCGCTGCCGACTGTGTCCTCCGCTATCGTCGCAGCATCTTTTATGTTTGAAATGGACCAATCGAAAAACATTCCAGCGCCTTCGACGAAGTTCAATACCGCAATGATGGATCCGCGCAATCTCAGCAAGTTACAGGACCTATTGTAGTAACAGATTGTATATGACAGAGTTGTCATTGTACTTGAAAAAGGTCACAGTGGTGGTCGAAACTTCGTACAATAAGCAGAAATCTAACATATATTTGGTTTTGCGGCCAGAAAATGTCTCTGTTGCTTTCGCCATGAACGTAAAACGTAGTCAATTCCAATTTTGACAGTTATGAGTTGCAAGCTGACATGTTGATTAATATTAATAAAGCAACAAAGCATGGCATGGCGAGTGAAAACCAGTGAACATTAGATGCGGGAGGTTATGTTGTCATTTTATGTACATGTGTATACATCCAAAGACTTTTTATACCGAAGCAGCCGCGTAGGCAGAAGCCGAACCGTGTAAGCAGACCACGACCCTCGCTGGATGATTATTTACTCTACACTCCAGGCAAGAGACATGAAAGCAAAATCAAAAGCATGCCACGGGGTCGCCTTCCTACCCGTGAGAACGTAGCTTTATAGATGTCACAGAGATATTCATTTTTTCAGCTAGACGATTAGGCTTTCCAAAAATAACATTTTTGAGCCATTATTATACGAGGTGCTAAAAGTTAACAATATTGTGTTAGGGCAAAGAAACAGGTAACTTGTTGATATGCTAATAAAATGTCGGTGATTAGTAAAGAAAGTTTCTTTAGGAAAACATATTTCCAGGATCGTCCTGCATCTTATGAGACATTTTTTGTAGGAATTTGCGTCATTTTTGTTTTTATATGCATCTGATGTATTGACCACTTTTTGGGTCACGCTGTTAAAGTACTGAATTTCTACAGGTTGCAGGATAGTCTCGAAATAGTACTGGACCAAGAACAAGCTCCAGATTTAGTTGACGGTAAGGAGTCACTGAACGAATTTGAAGAATCGATAGGTGGACCAGCAATGTACGAATTTTGGGAGAACCATGGCAGAAATGTAGAATTACTAGAAAGTAAAACAGTTGCACGCCGGGTTGCCTCATACAACCAGGTAAAAATTATTTGAGATAGAAATTCAACATTCCATCAGCTTAGTCAACTTCTCCTGTCGATTCACTTTTCCCTCTTTGCTTTTTTCCACCTGCACATCTTTATTCTTCTCCTCATTCACCTCTGACTTTGGTATTTGAGCAACCAGGTCTGACCACCGACAGACCTACTAACTGATAGAAGTTTAACCAATAACATACGTCTTCTTTCCATTAATCAAAATGTATTTATCTCGTATATCTAACTTCACAGAGTTATTTTATTTATCAAAAACAATGACAATACATGGTGGCTCGAAGCCGTCCGCATGATGCCCGTCTGCTCCTTCGCCTAAGTCCGTTTTCATTGGGCTATCCGAAAAAAAATATCAATTTATTTGTACTAAGATATCATTGTATTTGTTTGAGCATGCGATGATCGTAAGGCAGCTACCATGAGATCAGCCCTCCCCGCGTGGCTTACAAAGCCTCCTTGACGGGTAGAGGGGGGGTGCTTAGGTCGGAGAAATTCCACCTTCAGTCCTTGTGGAGGATTGAAAAACATTTTGTTGTCCCCTCCTCTGACACCGTGGCTGCTTAAAGACTAAGTGGGCAGGTTGGCCTGAGATTGGCTATTCCTGTAGTTTCTCTAACACTTTATGTTGCATATATGTATCCTGATACGGTAGGAATCCTTACCAAGCATTTCCCAAAGTTGATTCGATGGGAGACAACGTGGAAACCCCCCTGCAACTTCATAGAATTTCTTCAAACAGACTTCTAGTGAATTCAAACCTGTCCGACTTATCCTTGGTAGAAGGTGCACAGTTCTCCATAGTCCAAAATGGAAACAATTCATGCGTCAATTACTCGCATCTTCAGCGTCGCAAGTTCTGATTTAGCTTTACGTAGGCGTACGTCGTTGTGAGATCTTGCCGACAGTCTGTTGGTTAGCATCTAACAGACTAAAATTAAATGCAAGTAAAACGAAAGCCTTGTTAATCGGAAAAAAACAATGTACAAATGTTCAACTGAATATTGATGGTGAAGATATTGAATTCGTAGAAAATTTTAAATACCTGGGAGTTTTTGTTGACTCTCGATTAATTTTTGATATTCATTACGAAAAAGTTATAAATAAGATTAGTAGTAAAGTGGGATATTTATCGAGAGTTTCTGGATGTCTGAGTTCATATAGCAGAAAAATTATCTATAATACCATCATTCTTCCAAATTTCTTGTACTGTTCGACTATTCTATATTTAGCAAATAATTCCATTTTTGAAAGACTGCAAATTTTACAAAATAAGTGCATGAGAATAATACTAAATAAAGATAAATATACTCCAATTAGGCAAATGCTTAGCAAATTAAAATGGCTCAATGTAAAAAATTTTATCAAATATCTTGTAATGATATTCATTTATAAAGTAAAAAATAATATATTTCCATCAAGTCTAACTAATTTAACATCATCGAATGTCGACCATCATTTACATAATACCAGAAATAAAGATGACTTCCATTTAATGACCAAAAAGTATAACATATGCTACAAATCTGTATTCCATCAAGGGTTGATTGAATATAATAAATTATGCTCGGAGATAAAAGACCAGAAAACTTTGACAAAATTTAAAGTAAAATTGAGAAATCACTTGTTAAATCTACAATTATAGGTTGCCGCCCAGCATTTACATCATACACCATATGGCTTGAATTTACTAGTTCTAAGTTGTTTACAATTGTTCTGTTTATGTAGCCAAATGTGCTAAATAAATCTTTCTACTACTACTACTACTACTACTACTACTGTTGTTAAGCTCAGCTCAAAAGATGTTTCATTTATCTCACGGAAACTGGATAAATATAGAATAGAATGGGTGTTTATACACTGAGAAACAAACTTGTCTGACGGCTTCACTTTAATGTGTACAAGAGAGAAGTGTGTATAGAAAGCCGGCTGGCTAGCGAAACTCAGCACCGCGTTGTTACACCAGTACATTTAATTGCATGCAGATATGCAAAATATTGGTTTTCATTTTGAGCATTGACATTTTTGAATTGTGAATTGTGTCTAATCTGTTTAGGATCGATTCCAGATTGGTCCTAGCGACGCTCCATTCTAGGTTGAGATGACAGGTCAGGTTCGTCTCAAATTCTACAGCATTGCATTATTGGTTCGCTTGACAATACCGCATCTCGTACATTCTAAGGCAAGGTTTCCACCTCTATGATCATAGATGAGCGATTTTGGTCAGTACCCATCTAGCGCTCTTCAGCCGGCTTGTATCTCTTTCTAACGTGTGTTGATACACAGTTCTCGCGCTTCTCTCTCGTACACATTACACTGAAGCCGTCAGACAAATTTTCCCATTCAGCTAAGGCACAATATTACATTACAAGATGAACATAACAAAAATCATATATCGCTTGGATCGTCTGAAATGTAGTCCTTAATTCCTTGATCCTTCAATAAAAAACGATATTCCGATGCCTTGGGTTTGAACTTGAGTTGTTTAGCAATCCTCTTACAACTGTTGTTTTCATCAAATTGCTACTTTTCATAAAATGTACTTTCTTTGACTGTGTCAATATGTTTTAAATAGCAGGTTTTGTCAAACGCATCATAGTTATTTTAAAAAATAATAATACTTATATACATAAATATTTGTTTTACCTCCTATGCAAGGAACTATCATGATAAAGAGAAAAAAGAGCTTTTTGTCGTTTCATGATGGAAATTTGGAAATGCGGGGATCTAACTTCCGAGTTTGATTTATTTTGAGATAACGTTACTATTAACTTTTACAACGGTTATAATGGATATGATTTAGAGCAGAAATGTATTTTTCGTCAGCCAAGCATGTCTGGTCTGAAGGTACGTTTACATTTTGATAGTGTCCCGCAACATGTTGTGACACATATTTGTTTGAACAAGTTTTTTTTTATTTTTCACTTTATTATTCTTTTGACTTCTACTCACATTCTCCTTGATCAAGCATTGAGCCGCGACCTACGGAAAAATGACACTGATTTTAACATTCGCTTTGTTAAAGTATATTTTTGCCTGTGTCTTCTCTATGTCCCATTTGCAGTTTCTATAGTCTCGTGTTCTATTCGTTATTTTTTTTATTTTCCTTTGCTTGAAGAGCTAGAGTCATTTTCACGGATATCCATTCCATCAGACGTGATAGAAAATAACACCTAATTATTTGATAACGTTTCAAAAACCCCATATCGTCAAGTGACACACATTTCTGACGGATTTTTCAACGCTAGATCTATAGGCAGTGTCGTACTTTGTTGTTTTCTTTTATCCGCTACGAATCCATACTTCCTCATAAAGCTTTTATTTAGAAAAGTCAGGCAGGAATAAAGCAAGTTTTTGACATGATTTCACACCCTACAGCCTTTAATGTAAATATCTCTCTTGCTGATCAGCTGTTCACCTCGGTGGACTTCAGAATGTAATGGATACTTGTGAAAAAGACCATAGTTGCTGACTAAAACGATGAGTCAAACGGCTTGTCCCACTTTCTTTCATTGGTTTTAATTACCGAACTCACTAACCGAGCATTTGAGTGCATCTTCAAATGGATTTTGCGTTTATATTATAAGCAGATTGTAAAAATGTTAAACAGCGTAAATGACATTGATTTAAAGTCGAAAGTACAGGGTCCGTCAGAAATAACGCATATTTTTCGAATGAGTACTACATCAAGTGGGCTGGACCCGTGTCGGTGGGGAAGGGCAAGATGGTTTGGAACATTGAGCATCGTGTCTTCACTGTACGTCGGTTCTTTCAAAATGGCGAGTCTGTCTTACGAACGCAACGTGAGTTTCGCGTTCACTTTCGTGTTCCACGTCGTGGGACAGTACCAGAAAGTAACCCCATTTTGAAATGGAAGGAAGCATTCAACACAACAGGTAATGTGATGAAGCAAAAACCGCCAGGGCGAAACCGTACTGTTAGAACCCCCGAAAACGTAGACAGAGAGAGAGTTGACACGCTGCAAAGCCCGAATCGTTCCGTCCGTTTGCGTGCCAGTTCCGTAGGGATCCACGCGTCCTCTGTACATCGCATCTTGAAGAAGGATTTAGTGTTTGTTCCATCCTTACAAAATCCAAGTTTGTCAACAACTGTTGCCAGGGGATTATGCACAAGGTGTTAATTTTGCACAGCTCATGATTGAACAGTTGGATAACAATGACATGGCGTCGTTTATGAGTGATGAAGCACATTTTCATTTAGATGGATACGTCAATAAACAAAATTGTCGATATTGGTATCCAGTGCACCCCCAACAGTTGCATGAGCACCCCCTGCATACAACGAAAGTTACAGTTTGGTGTGCAGTAGGCCCAACGATGATTATTGGCCTTGGACCTCGGCGTGTCCGTCTCAGAACAGCGTGGTTTCAACAAGACTGGGTAACATCTCACACAGCTCGCACTTCGATGGAACTTGTTCGGCAAAAATTCCCATGACGTATCATTTCACGTCATGGCGATATTCCATGGTCCCCTCGCTCCCCGGACTTGTCAACGTATGATTTTTTATGGGGCTACCTGAAATCAAAAGTTTACCAAAGCAAGCCCAGGACCCTCATCGATTTGAAGGAGGAAATAAGGAGACAAGTAACCCAAATTCCTGCACGGATGCTGGCCGACGCAATGGGCTCATTTCGGGAGAGGCTTGATTCCTGCATTTCGACTCAAGGGCGCCATGTGATTGACATAGTTTTTAGAACGTAAATTTTGTTTTACTCAAAAAAAATGGCATGTATTTCTGAGTATTTTGATATAATAAAATATTCTTCCCTTACTTATTTTGACTGTGCTAATCATTTAAAAAACATGCATTCTTTCTGACGGACCCTGTACAACTAATGCCAAGGACTCTATTAGTAACTAAACTTTTTACACTGAGAACGTTGACGAGTACAGTTACCATGGTTATTCCTACATAGAGATGGTATTTTCGATTGTTACCATTTTATAACTGGCTACATTTACCTTACCGATTGTACAATGACAAATGTTAATTTGGTTCTAGGGTGTAGTGATAGTCCAGCCGCCTTTAGAGCGAGATGCCAAAGTAGAGGTGATTGTCGAACAACTAGAAGGCCGTTGGAGGTCATCTATGATGGTTGGATTGGTGGCAGGCCCATTAGATAGACTGAATCTTCCTGTGAATTCACTCATGCTTAAGGCGACATCCTGTGTTGTTGCCGATGACTGGACTTCTATTAATGGCATCAAGGTGAGAGACAATTTATTTGTTTACAGCTAAACAATTTCATTTTTTTTTCTAGAATTATATGTTAACTGAATAGGAAAAGTGTAACCAAGCCGGTTGCCTCAGCACTTCCCACCCATCGAAGCGCATTAGTATCTATATTTCTCATAAATTGAATCGAATTTTGCAAAGATTTTTACACTCAAGTTTATCAAAGGCGGTTTAGAGCAATTTTAGCTACACAGAGATTCTGTGTATGCAACCATATAGAACCCATGCCTAGTTTAAAAATTTTCGAAGAACCCATATTTCTTCCAGAAAGTAGAATAATGCGAGATAAAAAATGTTCACATTTTTTAGGTGTTGATCCCCATGAACTTCGTCAAAAAAATATCAGCAACTACGAAATCATTCAAGAAATTAAGTTTGTTGGCGCTCTAAAAATGTTCCCTTTTCACTTGTTCCTGCACCTTCATTCGTGAAAGCATTTAGAGTGTTGTATGATTAGAAACAGCTTTGTGTCAAAATTGTATTATAATCCAAACACTAACTTCCGAACAGGAATAAAGGAGCTATTAACTTTTTCGTCGATGACATTTTAATGACCCTTGTTCTGGCTCAAAACAGTCGCAGTACGTGTTTGATCCACAATTTAGTTAAGCACTTTAATGCTGAACATTGCACAGACCGACGCAGCTAACAGTGCTGAAAACACAGTCCGGCCCTGTTCCGCTGTGTCTGTCGCTGCTTGAGGCTGAAGCAAGCGTTCGTCGACAGCTCCGGTTGTATTGGTACTCTCTGTGCTGAGAACATGTATAACGTTGTATACGGTTGGGTATGGCCACAGAGACAGAAAGTAAATAGATCACATTCCGCCATCGTTTTTCATATATAGCGTTTAAATTTCAATTTTCAATTTCAGTCATGTTCAAGCTATGGCCAAAGATTAGAAACTTTAAAAGTAGGTGATGTAGTAGGTGTAACATTTACTGACAGTAAATGTTTGAGACTGTGTATAAATGGTATACAAGAAGAACCTTTGTACTGGGGGTATGAAGGTTCAAGTCCTGTTTATGCAGTGTTCGATCTATATGGGCAATGCCAACAGGTAAAAACTATAATAATTTGCAGTTTATCGAAATAAAATAGCACAAAGTGCCATCTATTACCAGAATCGATGACTACGAGAGTGAACAGCAACCATCTGCTAGAACTGTGAAGTTTTCAATACTTGATAAAAAAGTTGAGATATTCCATTTTTTAAACTTGTGAAAGAGTAACTATGAATGCTCATGTCCACGCGAAATTTTTTTTCTAATTGATACATCTCTTATTTCAGATAAAGATAAGAAACGAAACTAGTCAAATAGATACTACAACAACGTCCAGTTTTGACTGCGAAAAGGCAGATTTAGAATCTGGTGAAAAAGAGAGATCTGAGAACAGATTGACGCTACCCATACCATCAGCTAGTACTAGTATGTGTAGTTCCACGATTATTAAAAATCCTAGTCCGATGAAATCTTGTGTGTATAAAGAAGAGTGTGAACGAATAAAGAAAAAGCTACTATTACCAGGTGATTTCTCAAATCCAACGTAATTCTGTTTAAAATACACAAAACACGTATTTTCAAATGCGTCATACTTTATTGCTTTAAAAAAATTCTAGCATTTTTAACAGTCGTTGTATGTTTTAGATCAATATTTTACTGCCGACGAACCACTATGTTACTGCCTCAACTGTTATAAATTGAAAAGTACAGACGTTGATAAGGAAAATAATTTAGCAGGTGAGTTTTTTTTTATTCTGAAGCAGCCGTCGCCGACAGAAGCTTAAATGCCTTCATATAAATAACATTGGAGTTGTGAATTTAACATTATACTGATCTTATTTAGAATGTTGCTTCAGGTATTTCTATTTTTTTTAGGTTGGGTAAAATTTCCATTAAAAATATCCGAGAATATAGTTATGGATAAGTGGCACATAGCTTTCCATTACACAAAATTAGGAGGAGTGAGATGCGTTGTGGATAAAGGTCAACCACTAGCAAAAAGTAAGTTAATATTTTATCGTAATGAAATTGTAAAACTAAAATAATTTTCTGAGAATAATTAAACCGATAATTGAGAAGTAGAAAGTGAACAACTATTACGTCTCTTCGTGATACTGATAGTTCTGACATTTCGACACAGACTGCAGTAGAAAAATTTGTAGCACTGTTGAGCCGATCATTCCAAGTGAACATTCGCTGGACTCAAATCACGAACTTTGTAATGTAACGTTCGATATGACCATTACATTACAGCTATAGGGTGGAGAGACAGACATTCACAAAAATATCTATTACCAAAGTAACTGTTGCATTACTCTAAATATTGCATTTCTTCATAGCTTTCTCGGCTTTGCTGGCTCATATCGGGTTTTCCAATAGGGACTTGACAACTTTGAACTTTCACTGTGAATGCACCTTCAAATCAATTACCGAACTGTCGTACGTTAAAACAGTCAGTAAAGAAAACATTTTCATCATGGTGAAGTACACGAACGAACAATGCTTACAAATAATTAAAATTTACTACCGAAATTCCGAGTCGGTGACTGCAACTTTGAGAGCGTTAACGCCAATTTTTGGTCGTAATTCTCGTCCCAGTAGACAAGCAGTTTATTCATAGTCTAGTAAACAAATTGAGTTGCTGGATGTTCCCTTGCCAGTAAGACATCGGGTTGGTCCAAGTGCCGAGAATATTGCTGCCGCTCAAGCTTCCATCGCAAATAAACAGAACACGTCGATTCCACGGCATTCTCAAGAATTGGGCATCGATCAGACCACACTATGGCGAATTTTGCGAACTGATCTTGGCCTGCACCCTTATAAGATCAAGTTAACTCAAGAACTAAAGCCGTTCGATCACATGAACCGACATACGTTCTCGAATTGGGCTCTAGAAATGTTGCAATTTCATCGCAAAATCATCTGAGGCGCATCTTTGGCTAAACGGCTTCGTCAACAAACAGAATATGCGTTACTGGTCAGGTGAAAACCCTCATGTGCTTCAAGAAACACCACTTAATCCACAAAAAATAACTGTATGGTGTGGTTTTCATGCCGGTGGTGTCATTGGGCCGTTTTTTTTTTTTCGTTGATGGAAATGACCGTCAAGTTATAGTCAACGGAGATCGCTAGAGAGACATGTTGCAACGTTATTTTTTTGGCCAATTGGATGGGCTAGCTAGACATTAATGATATTATGTGGTTTCAACAAGACGGTGCGACAAAGCAAGTGAAACAATCGACATATTGAAATCAAAATTCGGTGAACGTGTTATATCGAGAAATGGTCCTGTCGAATGTGGCCGCCTAGATCATGTGATTTAACCCCTAGACTTTTTGTGGGGCTACATTATATCATCGGGCTATGCCAACAAGCCGGCGTCATTAGAGGAGCTCAGAGCCAATATTGAACGAGAGATAGCGGTCGTTTCTGTCGAAATATGAGGCCAAGTCAATGAAAATTGGGTTCAACGAATTGATCGCTGCGAACGTACCCGTGGTGGACATAATTATGAACGAGTTCGAATTTCATACATAAATGTTTTGAGTATAATCCAATAATAAAATTTTCGAGATATCTCAAATGGTTTGAATTTTATTTAAAAAGAAAGTTGTCAAGTCTTAATGGAAAATCATTTATTCACTCTTATTATCGAAATTTTTTTCATCACAGTTTTCACAAATAGCAATTCAGGACAATTCATTCTTAAAATAAATTATTCTGCAGGCCAAGCAGAATGGTGCAATCTTTCAGGTCAAAGAAATGATGAAGCCCAAGTTGTGATGTATCCAACATTATCTACAACCATAGCTAGGGTGTTCTGCTTTAGTGGAAAACAGGTATGTGCAATCAAACTTTCTCGTACTGCATTTCATATTATCATCGTCAAGGAGGTTAACTTCCATGCAAAAATATGGAGGCTGATGGCATTTGTCATATTTCTCCATTTGAAGCTTCTTTATTGAGGCAACTTGATTTCCCTTTCACGATACTTTGTCACATTTCATCGTCTATTGATGAATACCGCTGAGGAACAAACGACATCTTTGTATTAAAGCAAGGGTGCTCAACCCCAGGTATCTCATTTTATTTTGACTTGTTCAGTATCCTTACAAATATACTAAATGACCGACGAAAAGTAATTAAAAACGCTGCTGTAAATTGTTCCCTAAAATTGAACGCCAGCTGCTTCAGCTTGGAAGAAAATGACACGTTTACCGACTCACACTTTTAAAGTAACTCTCTCTTTCTCACTCAAACTAGAATCTTAAAATTACGGCCACGAGGAAAAGCCTTGGGTACACTAGAATAATTTTAAGTAATTAAGAAAAAATGTGGAAAACTGAGGTTCTTTACAAACATTAAGATTGTCCATAATTCAAGAAATAATCTAGCAAGTGTCATACAGTTTTGGAATCCCTATTAAATGAGCCAACATTTGAAATTACGTGCCAGACTTGCGTAGTACATTTTTTTCAGTACAGTCAACAAAATTGAGAAAAGCTAAATTTGAATACTTGTTTGGGAAAAAAGTGAAGCAAATTTTAGGCAACAATTTACACCAACATTGTTCAGAATTACATAATAAAAATAAAATTGAGATATATATATATATATATATATATATAATTTAAATTCATAGTAATGGTAACCAAAGATTATCCCAGGGTATAGGTTTTTTCGATTTTGAACGCAACACTAGCTACTTCTAGTTCTGACATTTCGACACAGACTGCAGTAGAAAAATTTGTAGCACTGTTGAGCCGAGCATTCCAAGTGAACATTCGCTTTACTCAAATCACGAACTGTGTGAAAAGAAACCAAAGCATTTCACGAAGTATCTTGATATTGTATTGTACGAAAATCAACAACAAAATACGACTCTCGTCTACAAATCTAGCGGTGACATGACCGTTCGTGTGGGGTACTTTGAATGTCACTGATATTTGTTGTCAGTTATGACGTAATGAAATATCGTGAAAAATAGATTATTTGCCTTGACGGCAGTCTTGACACGAGCTTGTGACAGAAGAATCGTCATTATCTCTCTCACTCGAACGAGCAAACTGCGTGTAATTGATGATTTTGATATTTGGGCAACGATTCGTGAGTCTGCGATCCTTTCGGTATCTCCGCATATGAATTGGCAGCATTAAGTTTTATATGATGTATGATTTCTTCCAGGTTTACTCTGCCTTCCAACTTCATTTGAAACCAGGAGCATACTCAGTATCCAGAGATCTGGATCCAGTAGAGTGGAGTACCAAAGAAGCTGGAGCAATCGTTTTAGATTCGCTCCTGTTACGAGTCCAATAAAGTATATGTTTTATGCTGTGATTATGTTGATAAATGAACATTTTGAGATTAGTGGTGTTTTCACTACGGTTTGAAATAGCTATATTGTCAGCATTTGCCTCGGTCCATGGAGCATTTTGTCTGGAAATGGCTCAATTGGTACAAGCAAAGCGGATGCTTGGCTGGCCAAAAGACGCGCATTTCATCTATTTCGTTTCTTCGGAATATCTACATGAATTAACTTTGACCTTCCAACGCGACTTCTGAAAATTTTTAGTCATTACTTGTCGACTTGAATCTGTTATAGGTAAAACCATTGCTAATGCTATATTCCCGCCACCAGAAGGTTATTTATATCAGAATTTGTCACAGCTCTTTCTCTACTTACTGTATATACTTCGAAAAGGTTAGTGTCTCTTAAATGGCGCTGTAGCCAACTAAATGCTTGTATATGCTCATATAGACAGCGCCATCTATGAAACACTAATCTTTTCAAAATATATATATATATATATTATATAGTAAATAGAGCAACAGTTGTGACAAATTCTCATAGATGAGGCTACGGTATCGCATGTCGGATAATTGTTTGGACGCGGTGGAATACGTTAAACAATAGTAAAATACTTGATTGAGTCATTTTTACATTAGTATGGATATGAGAAAAATACACATATTCAACGTTTTGACTAATATTGGTTGAAACGAAATTAATCAAATAAAACAAAATTTTCAATTTATTTTGCTATAATGCTTAAATCTGAAATGTTACATATGTACTTGAATAAGAAGTTGTTTTTATTTAAGAATTAGTGACTCCATTTTTCAAACTTCTAATGAAACTCTGCTGGTCTCAATTTGGAAATAAAGATCTTGCAAGAACTACTTTAACAGGTAAATGTTTCCAAAGATTTTGGCCGTATTCGCTTTAAAATTGCACGGCGTTAAATTGTAATAAACTTTTGTATCTTTTGAATTTGTCTTCTCAAAAATGATATCACGCTTTGAAATATAGTCCTTATGTTATTATATGCACAATATTGCTCAAGGAATGTCAAGGAGAGATTGTGTGCCACCGATTCATGATTGTCAAAAATATAAAGTAGCATATCAATCCACACACTTTTATTGTAAAGTATATGATAGACAAAAACCATCAGAACTGGCTTTCTACTCGTAGTTTAACATCAGACAGTTGCAATGTAGTAAATATGAAGACAGATTTTTTATTTAAATACATAAAAGGTATGTATAAAATGTGCCCTATTGTGAAGGCCTAAAAGGTTATGCAGGATTATTCATCTCCTAATCAAATCAAAAAATTATAAATATACAGGATGTTGATATAGTATCTGTACAATCTGCATGGGATATTTTTTGTGAATTTCAATTCACCAATTGAAGTTTCACAGGATACTTTATCATCACTGTTACAGTTTTAGATAGTTTTCTATTGCACTGTGCTATTCATATGCCAATTTTTATGAGTTTTGTTTAGAAAGTGAATAATCTTTGCATATTATTGGAGCGTCCAAACATGTAGAGGTGCTTCAGTAGTTATTTAATTCAATGAGGTACTGTTTTCAACACAATAATGGATTTACTACTAAAATATATTAAAAACCCTTTTGAGGAAGAGGGTTCTCACGGGTTTTTCTTCCATAATTGAAGCTTACTCGAAGTATATGTTTTTTCTGATGTGAAAATGAATTAAATAACATTACTGAAGTCGCCTGGCATGCTTTCATCCAACTTCTGTTATTTATTCAAAATGACTAACATATTCTTTTATGTTAAAAGATAATGCAATATTTTTCTGATAATTATCAGTATGTTATATATTTTTCTGTTATTTTTATTTTATTGAATAAATATTCCATCTAGGCGTCGTATTTTCATTTGAGTATCTCTCCTTGGATGAATTTCACCAATCTTCTGTATAGTGAAACAGCCGCGACAGCAAAACCGGAATTCCCTGATACAACGACCAAGATAACTTCGAAATTAGTAAGCTAGACAACCAAAGGATAAGTTCCAGGGGCCTGATTGTAACTAAAATTTCTACAACTGAAATCAATTTCCAGCATGCCTTCCCGTCACATCAGGGTTGATTAATAATAATATTTATCCACATCAATTATTATTATTCGATTTCAACCTTGATTTTAATCAATGATGATTTTTTCGTCTATGTTCTTGAATTACTAGAGTGTTAATTAAGGTAATAGGAATCAAATCAGCTAGATAAAAGATAAATACTCATACAAATGTAGTTTTAATTTATCAATGTAAACTATGTTATTATAGCAAACTATTATTGAATAAAGGAGTTAATCAACTATTAATTGTACGAGTATTTAAAAATGGCGTCGAGTAGGTTGACTGTACACTTCCTATGCAACGCCTCATCTGTTCATAGAGGATTATGTTCCGCGCCATATACATTATATCCTGGATAGACGATATCCGCTATGCTATGCTTCCGTTCGGTGTCCCAGAGACCAAGCCTAGACTGTGCCGCGCTGATGAGTTGCCAAAAAAGAACGAAACCGATGTCTGCGGGTGGCTGACTTTGGTTGGACGGATGAAAGTAGCAAGTTAGACCCTCTAAGAGGAAAGCTAGTTATAAACATGTAAATTAAAAGGATCAATGCCGTCAAACAGCTCCGTACAATAATTAGTCCATAACATCCTTTCCCTGTCCTACCCGTAGTACCATTGATCTAGCAACGTCGCGTCGCCTGTCCCAATATCGGGACAATGTATGATGTGTGTAGAGTTATCGGGATTGGAAGTGTATTAATAAACTAACATCAAAAAATGTTTATCCCAATTTTTTCAAAAATGATCAGGATCCTCCGAAACGTCAAAAACGGACTTCAGCGATTTTTTTTCGTTTTCGGCTTTTTTTAAAACATACCAACCTTTTTCGTCTTTGACATAACAGTAACGTGTAAATATTTCTTCAAAATCCGAGAGGTATTTCTCAAGTTATAGACGGAAATGATTGGCATGATTTTTCGTGATGTACATGTCATATAACATTCAAAAAACGATATGTCATTTTCGGAAATGTTCGCGAATACAATATTTTCTATATACACAGGAACGCATTTTAAGGAGGGTCTTCATTAAAGAGATCCGGGGTATTGAAGTTTAAAAATAAAAACATTTTTTTAATATCTTCAAAACCGTTACTGGAATTAGCTAAAATTTGGTATGAGGATCTCCGTAAGTATTGTCCAGATTCAAAATTATTTACTTAAAATTAACGTGCACCAGTAGCGGAGAGGGGATTAGTGACATTATTTTTCGAAATAAAAATACGCCACTATTTTTTTTTCGAATCGCGCAGTTTTTCGAATTTTACCTTCGCCTTTTACGAGAAGTGGAACCTTTAATTCTCATAATGATCATATTTGGTCGCTAGAAAATCCCCGTTCTCTAAGAATCCACTCGTTTGCAACATAGATTTTCTATAAATGCGGCATTTTCAATGGCCAACTGTTTATACACGTATTGCCACAACGTTTGAATGCAAACTCATACTTAGCTTTTATAGAGAATTACATACATAGAAAATGTGTTAGATGATGTTCCGTTAGCAACGAGAGTAAGAGATTGGCAGAACCAAACCCGGACACTGGCCTACGAGGTCTCATGATTTGAACCCCCTGGATTTCTTTTTGTGGGCGCTTTTAAACAACTACTGTATGCTGAACAAATTAATACTGTTGCGGAAACACGTTTTTCTTTATTAAAAAGATGCCGCACTTGTATCCGTCAGAATGGTGGTCTTTTTGAACATTTATTGAAATAAAGCTTTGACGGTCTAATTAGTTTGCTTTGATTTTTTCGAAAAATTGCGTTTCGAAAAAAAAAGTGGCCTACTATTTTTATTTTGAAAAATGCCACTAATCCCCTGTATCTCCGCCACTGGTGCACGCTAATTTTAAGTTAAGAGTTTTGAATGTGGCAATACCTAGGTAAATCCAGATACCAAATTTTAGTTCATTCCAATTGACGGTTTTGAAAATACTAAAAAAATGGGCGGTGTCGTATATGATGTACGCTGTGTAATTTATTACCGCCTGAAATTAAATCTTTCGACATTTTACAGGTTCAAAGGGCATATCAAGTATCTGCTTTTACAAAGAAAAAAATAAAAATACCTCCTCTTCTGCTAATAAAAATAGCATTCATTAATATGTCACAGTGAATTTATTAAATATGTATCATTATAATCATTAACTATTTTTATTTATTCGTGTTTGTATTTATTTTTGTATGGATGGAGGAGTAGCTTAAGCTAAACTTCGCCCAAATAAAAAGAGTAAATATTATTATTTATGTTATAGTTTATATTGGATCAGATAAAATGTAGAAAGAATCCTTTCTATAGATGCAGAGGAAGCCACAGCTGTGTACAACTGGTATAAAATAGACGGTAGTTGACCATAGTCATATACACTGCTCTCAAGTGTGACTTCCACAACTGCAATGGTTTTACAGTTTTTATTATTTCCTCTGCAAATATTACTTGTTTAAATGGATCACCCTTGGCTTTAAATTTAAACATTACATACTGTAGACTGTTCCCGGATACCCATTTTTAGTTCCGAAAATGCTTACTCAAGTCGCATATGATATAGCCCTTATTGGTGGTTTTATTCAACATTCCAAGTGACGACTTTCGTTCCGCTACGGGCACTACGAACGCATTACATCGAACGCTAACTGGAGTGTTGTTAATGCGAAAAATAATAGTTTTATTAGGGAGTTAGTTGTCTGCTCATAAAGTCAAAATCTACCATTTAACGGGAATATAAGTCAAATTTATCATAAATATAAAAATTCTTGATTTGATTTGAAAAAAAAAAATTAAAAAATCTGCCATAAACAAAAAATCATGATCATGGTCCATCTTTTATATTCAATTCATTACGGCGGTAGACAGTGCCAAAATCATAGCGAATCGAACGTAAGACGGCAAAACGACATCGAAATTAATTTCAACGGTTGTAATTCAGTTAGAATCACAATAAAAAAACACATTTTAAATAAAATACATGTAATTTTCAACAAACAGATTGTATATAAATATACATTAGAATGTCTTTCAACTATGTGATGTGTAATCAGTATAATTTCATAAAAATAAATAGGATAAAAAACATTAACAACATTCAAAATTACATTTCCCCTACTAAACGATTCTCAACATAGACATCATATGTTCCTGTCATTGAATAAAATACTGTCTCGCGTAAATAACAATATAATGGGTGGTCCTCAACTGAATCAAATACAAATCCAATTGTATACCAAATCGAAGGGCAATTGTGTTACAACAAACTTAAAACGTGGAGATACTTAACTATCTTCTGGAATGAAACGATTAAAGCTGCTTTTTGCAAAAAAAATCACCCGCTTTCCATCATTTTTCACAGCCTCCAATTACAACCAGTCGCAGAACTTCAAGCGTTTCTCAATTCTACAACCAAAACAAAGAAATATAAGTACGGTATTTTTAGGCCTACATTTTACTAGGGAATTTGAAGGTACCGGTTTTGTGCATAACTTCGTTAAAGTGTCGCCGGCCGTCGATATACATCATTGCTTCTTGGTAAGTCATTGGGATCACTTCTTTCACCAGCTGGAAGAGAAAGTTTTTTTAACTGCATTCTTGGGATGTGACGAATATTTTGCGAATGTGGATATCAGAAAAAGTCAATATGAACATAATATTAGGTATAACGTTTATATTATGTATTTTCAGCGGCTACGTACCCACCAAGTTGGGTAATGGTCTAATCTGGTACAGGTGAGAAAGGTTGTGTGTCAATGACATTTAATAGAGCAGATACGACCAACCAGTCAATCCTAGAGCTACATGCAAGCCTTTATTTGTAAATCTTAAAATATGACTGTCGTATCATTGTACAATTTGGAAAAGGCAACTCTTATTTTTAAAAATAAATCCTAATTTGAAGCATTAAATATAAAATACAATATTAGACGAATACAAGAGCTTAAATTAGTAGTACCTAACTCAACACTTGTGAAAGACTCAATAATTTATAATGGTCTGAAAATTTACATGTGCCTCTCTGATGGTATCAAAATAATTAACAATTTTAAGTTATTCCGCTGCAGACTTCAAAACTTTTTAATATGTAAACCACATTATACCATGTGCGAGTTCTTACAGTTCACCTACTTAAGATCCACAAATGTAAATATTATAATTTAGTTCTAAGTTAGCTTTATCATTAAGAACGATTGTATTCTTCCGACAATAAGGCATATTTATCTATCTATCTGAATCTATCTATGCAAGGCAAAAAAAGCAGGCGGTAAGTAGAGATGTTGTCAGTTATTGTGCATGAAGTATCTCAGCGATATGATAAAACTATATGGATATAGGCACTCACCTCAGGTACATAATATGTAAAGTGGAAGGAATTTGAGGTATCTATTTTTCCTGTAATCGGATTGAACGTCTCTGTGAAAGTGGTTATCTGGAAATAGTTCAGGTTTGTGTATACCACGTGCCCATGCATCTGGATCAGTGAGTTTACTTTCACTGGCTTGTTGAACTGTATATCACTGATGCTTTTTAAGACTGGACGTAGCTTGCTGAATCTGTAGAAGAAAAATTGAATTTGAGTCACCAGATTTTTGAAGATTTGTAGTGAGTATTTCCATCCTCAATCCGTTGTATCCGAATATCATTTTTATGTTAGAAGGAATTTATTTAATATAATAATAATAATGATAATTTATTCAAATTAATTACAAATTGTGAACAAATGCATATGCCTTGTATCGTCATCTTGGGCGTGAAGGGTTCTAAACCACATAGACAAACTTCCGGG